TCCCATGAGATCCAGCATTTTTTTTGTGACACACCGCCAGTGTTAAGCCTTGCCTGTGGGGATACAGGACTGAGTGAGCTGGGGATCCTCATCCTCAGCCTGCTGGTCCTCTTGGTCTCCTTCTTCTTCATCACCATCTCCTATGCCTACATCCTGGTGGCCATCCTGAGGATGCCCTCTGCTGAGGGGAGGAGGAAGGCTTTCTCCACCTGTGCCTCGCATCTCACAGTCGTCATTATCCACTATGGCTGTGCTTCTTTCATGTACCTGAGGCCCAAAGCCAGCTACTCTCTGGAGCGGGATCAGCTTATTGCTGTCACTTACACTGTAGCAACCCCGTTGCTCAATCCCATCGTTTACAGTCTAAGGAATCGGGCTGTGCAGACAGCTCTGAGAAATGCTTTCCGGGGGAACTTATTGGGAAAAGGATGAAGGCAAGTCCAAAGAGTCATTCTTCTCTGTGTCACAGACCAGACAGACCCAGTCCAGTGGGCCAGGAATTCCAGGTGTCAGGCCCCAACTGTCCTGGCCACGCCCCCCGGGGGCACCTCAGCCTGAGGGGCCCTTCCTCCCAAGTTGCTTGAGAATGCAGAGACAGACAGGACTTCCTATTTTGGTAAGTGTGAGCTCAAAAAATCTGAATTTTTACATTAATCTTCACAGATATCACCCCTAGTTACTGAAGCCCATTAAGAAATAGAGTTTTCTTAATGCATGAAGATCACTGTTAATTTTCCAACTCAGCTGAACAGAATGAGGAAGTTTGGAGCATTCAAGGAAGAACAGGTGGGAGTTTTTATCAGGGACACTTAGAAGATTCAAAAATATTTAGACCCTTTGAGTTGTAATGTTCTTTGAAGATCTGAAATTCAGTGAATAGAAGTTTGGCAGATTAGCTTGATACCTTGAAAAATGGAAATATAGGTTCTCTTTGTCTTCCACTAGGTGTCTCTTATCATTTACATAACTTAGATCTTAAACTCTCTACCTCATTATTTTACTTTCCCCATTTTAATCTAAGCTGCATAGATTCTATTTCAGAAAATCTAATTTTCCTATCTTCCTTGATAATTACTGGTGCTCTCTTGTGTCAAGAACTCTGGGGTCATTACCAAATATGGGTGTTATCTTTTTGAATCTACTCTACCTATGGCACTTTCTACCTACATTGTTTCCTATGTGGTTCCAGGAACTGTTAGGAATGAGCAAAAGTGTAGTGAATTCCCACAGCTCTTAGGTAGGAGTCCAAACATAAGCTTTTGCACTAACAATCTGAGCAACCCTAGATATTTTGCTTAACCTTTGTCAGCTTCAAAGCCTTCATCTGTGAAATGTTTTTAGCCTGAAAGTTTGTGTTCTCAGAGAAAAAGCATCATTCATATAAATAACTTAGCATAATACTTGGGTCAATCTCATCTTTACTAACAATGTGTTATGAAAAATGATGCTGGCTTTTACTTTGGTAAGGGTTACTCCAGGGTGAGAATCAAAGAAGGCTCCATGCCAAAGGTAGTACTTGAACTTGCCCTAAAGGATGGATCTTGACTGGTGACAGAGGAAGTACAGAACAATCAGATTCTAGATGGTAATAGAATATATGAATTTTACAAAGGGGCTGAAAATGGCTCAAAATGCTTCTGAGAAAGTTGCTTGGGTTGAGATTACTTGTTTTGCAGGGTATGGGTGACAGTTGAAAACCTTGCTTCAGACAGATCATTTTGAGGAGACAGGACACAGTAAAGCTTTGAGCAGAGAGTAGAACAGCGTCCGTGAAGTGACTGAACAAGATTAACCTTAGTAGAATGGAGGCTGATGGATTTCAGCAGGGAGAAACCAGAGGTAAGAGGATAAATAAGACATCCATTGTCATCTTCTTAAAGAGAGGCAGAGGCTTAAGTATAGAGAAAAGAATAAGCTAGAGAAAAGTAAGCAAATTCAAGTCAGATGGCAGAATGGGTCCGGGTCAGAGGAAGAAGGTCATCTTAGGCTGCCACCCCCGCATTGCACTGGGGCTGTTTCAGCAAGTTCATTTCCATGGCCTATTCAGACCACGCAGCATAACAGGCCATGGATACACCCTGACTAATGGTAGACTAAGGGTGTTCCAAGAATTATTAAGTAATATTCAAAGATCTATTTACTACCAAATGCAGCAATTTTAAGTAAGGAAGGGTTCAAAAACCACTTGGGGGATTTTAAAAATAGATATTCATAGGTTTTATCCCTTCAGATCTTGACATCATTGATTGGGGATGGAGATAGCAGAAATAAATCTACAAAATCTCACCAAATGATTCAAATTTCATATGCTAGGTAAGGATTTGACCATATGTTTGAAAGGGCAAGCTCTCTCTCTCTCTCTCTCTCTCTCACACACACACACACATACACCCACATACACACAGAATTATGTCTTGCTTTCCACTTCCACATATTGCAATTCAAGTCCTGTTGCAGCTTTCTCCAAGGCAGTCACCTCTGAGTGGCAGCCCAGTGGAGACAGGACTTGCTGAGTTTTTTTTTTTTTTTTTTGGGGGGGGGGGGTGGTCTGGTCGTGGGGCCTGAACTCTAGGCCTGGGCACTGTCCCTCAGCTCTTCAGCTCAAGGCTAGCACTCTACCACTTGAGCCACAGTACCACTGCCAGCTTTTTTCTTTTTGCTTATGTGGTACTGAGGAATCGAACCCAGGGCATCATGCATGCAAGGCAAGCGCTCTACTACTGAGCCACCTTCCCAGCCCAGGACCTGCTGAGTTTTAAGCATAGTCTTGTCACCTTAAAAAAAAAGATATGTGACCTAGGAAAGTTTTGTTTTTAAAAAATACTTTATGACCCCCATTGCAAAAATGGAATGATAATAATCTCTCTTTGATAGAGCTTTTTTGATGAAGATTATTATAATGCCCTTAGAAAAAAGTCAGTTACACATTAAGTGCACAATACTATTTTTATTTGGTGCTTCTAGAAAATATCACTTTAGGATGCCAAATCATTTTGCTAATTGATTCTAGCAACGTCCAGCATCTTGTATTTAATGAGGCAGAGGGATCAGTAAGTATCATGTGCCATCACTATGGCATTGTGTCTGACTGGATCTACATCCCAGAGACTTGGGAGGATAAAATGCTGGGAAGTAGGTCCAGTTGTATATAGGCAGAACATGGAAACAAGAAAAGGAGATGAAAGGTACCAGAGAGTTTCACAGATGTTAAAGAGAAGTATTCTACTAGAAATGAAATAATTTTGAAAGCCAACGAAGCAGTAGGAATCAAGAAAGAAAAAAAAAAACCAAGGATGCAGCCATAGTCTGAGGCTCAGGGACAGACGCTAATATGTAAGTTATAAAGGAGACCATTAGCAAAGTGAAGGCAAGGAGTACTGTATGAAGTCAGTAGTGAGAAGGTCAGGAAAAGATGAGTATTAATTGGAAGGAAATTACTTCTGAGATCAAGAAGGATATTTGATACAAATTCTAGTTGTTATGATACTAAACTATTTATAGCTTCTAGTTTATGTAATTGGTTCCAATGTTCCTTTTTTTCCTTTTTGCTTGAGTGTAGTACGTAGATCAGAGTCTGAATCTGAGCTGTATGAAGCTGATAGTTAAGAGCTTCTTATGGCATTCTTCTTATTGCTTTTTTAGATAATCATTGCAGTTCCTGGCGGTATTATTCAATCCTTTTCGTAATTGTTCTTTGCCTTAGAGAATACATTTTACTGACCACATTCCTCATAATCTGATTTTAGCCTAAAAACCCTTGGCAAGCTTGGAACAGGGACTGCAACCATCCTCTCTTTTCTTTCTTTTTTTTTCTTTTTCTTTCTTTCTTTTTTTTTTTGGTCAGTTGTGGGGCTTGAAATCTGGGCTTGGGCACTGTCCCTGTACTCTTCAGCTCAAGGAGAGTGCTTTACCACTTGAGCCATAGCGCCACTTCCGGTTTTCTAGTGGTTTATTGGAGATGAGTCTCATGCACTTTCCTGCACCGGCTGGCTTTGAACTGTGATCCTCAGATCTCAGCCTCCTGAGTAGCTAGGATTACAGGCATGAGCCACCAGTGCCTGGCCTCTCTTTTCTTTGATATTCTCAACATGCAAAGTTTTAGAAAGTCCATACTTGGTCATTGTGATATTAGATGATATTGATTCTCCATGGCCTATTTGACTATATTGTTTGCAATTGTAAAATTTCTGATGACTTGTAATCATGTATATTTAAAAACTTGCCATTAATTTTCAAAGTTTTTTCTTGATTGTTAGATGTCATTGTATTTGGTTCCTCTTATATAAACCAATAAAATAGTTAAATGTTATTATGGGTAAAATTTTTTTAGTTAGAAATAAGTTTTTTTTCAAGTGACTCCTGTGACAAGATTTTTTCCTAGAAAAATCTCCCCTAAAAAAGGATTAATCACTACAAGAGGAAAGAATTGACTCTGAAGATGGTTGTCCAGGAGCAGTGTTCATTGGGAGATAAAGGCTGTGTGTGCAGGATACTAGCAGTTTTACACAAGGCAAAAACAAACAAACCAAGACAGCAATAAAAAAGCCCAAGATTTCCTCACCAGCAAATTACACCAGTAACTTGTATAAATCAGATCCAAATGCTGGTATTTGAACCTACTCATACCAAATCTGTCCTGAAGATTCCTGGATTCAGTTCCATCTCCTGTTTTTTTTTTCCCCTTAGTTAATCATTTTAAAAACATTTCTACTGAGCCTTACTGTAACAGGATATGGAAACAAATAGACACAGATGTTATTTTTATCACATTGAAATACAGAGTGAATTCAGGGGATTGAAAGACAAGATGGAGGAATCCTGTCATGCTGCAATTTTGTCATTCTGAGAGTAATGACATCAACTCTAATGGCACAGAATGGAAAGGGACCAAATTAAGAAAAAACAGGTGTTTAGCTTTATTTCACAAACAAAAATATCCTAGATTCCCAGTATCAAATATACTACTTTTAAACTATAAAAATTCAAGCACACTCTAAAAATAAGTTGTAAGTCATCTTAGGTTTTATTTGTAGTTTATTATGGCTGTTTATCACAGTCTAATTATCTGCCCAGATTTAGATAATAGTATAGTTCCCAGAAATGCAGAATCCCAATTGGGGCAGAAACAGTTTAATCTCTCTTTAAAAAAGAAATGCTTCATCCTATAATGAAAAAATGCCAAAATGATAAAAATATGCAGAATACAATGAATAAAAAAATAAAGACTTAGGAATTTCCTAATAGTGACCAGGAGAGGAGTTGTTCTTCAACATCTCTATTAGCTCCACACCCCTCCCCCCAGGCTTAGCATAATACACACACACACACACACACACACACACACACACACACACACACACACACACACACACACAGAGTCTTTTCACCCTCCACACTTGCCTGTCCATTTCAAACCCAATACTTCCCACCACACCAAACTTTTCTATGATCTGTTATGAGTTGCCAAAGAAGGAATTGGTAAAGCCCACATAGTCATAGCCGGCAGGATGACCTCGACCTCGTGGGTCCATGTATTGCTGCATATGGATGGTACAGAATGACACCTGTTCCGGGGTTAGGGCCTGCAAAGAAAAGAAAAAAGATAAAGATATAGTCACTGAGATTCAACTAGATGCATCCCCTTGGTTTCTAATGTGCTGGAAATGTGATAGGGGGAGAACCTTTGAAAGAAGAAAAAAGCCCTGTTTCTGTGATACCCTTAAAAATGTATGATTTTCAGTGAATAAGACCAATATAGAGCTCATCCACTCTATTTCTACTTCTCACTTCTTAAATTTATCTCATTAAATGAAAGTGGCAAGAAGCAGCCTTAAAACTGAGTTGCGAGTTTTGAATGAACTCTGACAGTCAGAGAACCACTCTGTTTTTCAGCTAGATGAAAACAGAATGAAGTGGCCCAGACAAGTGGCATTCTGTGAAAGAGGAGATCTGAGCAGAACAAGTGGCCATGTTGCCAGAGGCCTTCAAAGCAGGCAACCAATAACAAGATGGCCAAAATCTAGATTATGATGAATGCATAGTAGTAGCAGAAGCCATGGGAATCTGACCTGCTTCAAGTCCTCTTTGGTGATATAGGCCTTGCCCTCTGCCAAGGCTTGGAAAGCACTCTCTATGTCATCGCTGGTCTTGATATTCTCCGATTCCTTGTCAATCAGGAATGATGTATAGTCTTCCAGGGAGATATAGCCCTTCCTGTGAGGAGAGTAAGAAGATGAAGGGGGAGGGGAAAGGGAGCGAGAGAGGAGAGAGGAGAAAGAAAATGAGGAGAGAGGAGAGTAGAGAGAAGAGAGAAAGGAAAGAGAGAAAGAGGAGAAGGAAGAGAAAGAGTAGAGAGAGGGGAAAGAGGAGAGAGGTAGAAGGAGAAGAGAAAGAGGAGAAAGAGAAGAGAGATAGAAGAGAGAGAAGAGAGATAGAGGGAGGAGAGAGAAGAAAGGCAAAGAGGGAGAGGAGAGAGAGAGGAGAGAGGAGAGAGGAGAAGGAAAGAGACAGACACAGAGACACAGACAGAGAGAGACAGACAGAGACAGAGAGACAGAGAGATGTAGCTTCCAAAGACAGAAGCAGAGCCCTGTCCTAAACAGGGTTGCAGAGGCAGAAGGAAGTCTGAACCTCCACGGTCCTCCTTCAAATAAGATGTCTGGTAGTGTGGCTATTCTGAACCCCCTCCTCACTCCCTTAGACAAATAAACACTGTTTCTTAAACTCCGGACTGTTTCTATAGAGACAGTTCCAGAATGTTCTACCATCACCAGCCCCAGGTACTTAAATCATTTCTGGTTTTCTTCTATGTTTAATGATCAGAAAGAATTAATCTGTCATAATGGCTTGATTTATGTATAACTCTGCTGCTCCCCTACAAGTCCACACAATTCCACCCTCCATGCCTTTGAGTCATGCATATTTCCCTCCAAATCTCACATACATGAAAGGACTCTTAAGTCCTATGCTTACAGCCAGCAAAAACTCATAGATCAACCATTTGTCATGAACTGGGCAAGTTGCAAAGCTAGAATTTGAGTAACAGTTAGTGTTACTTCTGAGCTAGCTTTGAAAGAACACCAAGAGATGCCTAATTCTTTTCCAAATTCTTTTCCAAATGAATGAATTGCATGCATGATCAACAGTATACTTGCTGATAGATTCCTTCTAAGCCCCGATGACTGTTCTGTTGATCCCGTGGTCCTCCCTTTACCTGCTTGGATCCACAGCATCCAGGAACTTTTGAAACTTGGGCTCGGGTTCATCCTCCTCCACCATGGGCAAATAATAGTTGAGTCCTCTCAGGCAGGATCGGAAATCTTTGTGACTCAAGCGCCCTGTCAAATTCTCATCAAAGTGTCTAAAGGGTGAAAACATTTTATGAAGCTCAAAAGAACATCAAGTTACAGAAGGAAAGAATAGACCTTATTGAATCAACTAGAGAGTTATTAACGTGTTATTGTTTTCAGAGAACTCAACCTGTCTGTTTGTATTGCTGTACATTTTTTTAAACATGATGAATAGGAAGAAAATCATAAAGCACAGAGCATAAATGAGATGTGTTTTCCAACTCCTGGAGTCTCACAGACATTATATTTAAATCAATGACTGAAAGCACTTACATATATCTAGATCTTCATTTTAAGATCCTATGCAACCACACAGAGAAAACTATTAGTCATTTGTAAACTTATGAAGAATGGGCAAGTAAACAAAGTGTCAGTCAACTCTGAAGTTATACTCACTTATAAGTGGTGCTAAACTCCTTTAGTGTCTCCTCACTCACACCTATGGTATCTCTGAAAGAAAAAAATCCCACAGAAATTAACCCATCAACTAAAACAGAAAAATAGCAAGAGACATGCCATATGAAAGAGAATTAGAATGGAAAATATACTGTCAGATTCATCAATCTCAGAGGCTAGCAAAATATGTTCTGTGAACCAGAGTCAGCCTGCCATCTGCTTCCATACAGCCTATGAGCCAAGAATGGTGGGTTTTTACATGATTGACTCTCACTGAAAGAATATTTTATGAAACATGAATGTTTATTAAATTTAAATTTAATGTCCACAAATAAAGTTTTATTGGAACACAGCTATGCTCATTCATGTGTGAAATTATCTATGGCTGCTCTTCAGCTGTATTAGCAGAGATAAAAGGTTCCAGCAGAAGATGCATGACTCCTGGGCCTGAGGAATGGCTCAACAGTCGAGTGCTTGCCTGACAAGCAAGAGGCCTGGAGTTCAAACCCCAATATCATAAAAAAGAAGTTATACGACTCATAATGACTTAATTATTAATAACAAGGCCCTTTAGAGAAAAAGTTGTCCAATTCCTCATCTGGACAAATAAAACCCCATACTGCCAGGAAGCTATTGAGACATAAGGGTGCCTTGATGTAATTAACTGACCTAGGAAAATTAATTTTTCTGACATGTTAGTCTGTACTTTGGCTATTCCTTCCATTTTTGATATTATATTCTTGAATGGAACTTTATAAAATGGAATCCTTTATGAATATCAGATGAAGGGACTCTAAGAACTGCATATTATTTGGGCGTATAATGAATGTTCTCTTGGGGAGAGGAATGTCTCTTATTCCCTGATAGATTTCACTATATGAAAAAAAAAGTCCATCTGTGAGTCCATGAAAATAAAAACACTGGCTTTTCCGGTGCATGTACTATATCTGAAGCAGCTTTTTTTTTTTTTTTAAACAGATCTTAAAACTATAGCCATTGTTATGCTCTTAATACCCAGTACCATCTTCACCCCTCCCTGTCCTGGCTATAGACCCTCCATACTTGGCCTGGATTTGTTGTTCCAGATTGTGTTGCATTCGCATCCCCAGCTGGTGGAGCTGGTCCCACTGCTGGGCCAGTCCAATGGTGCTGTATTTGATGTCAAGAATCAGAGCCTCCTCCATGTTGTCCCCTAGGTCCTCAATCTTGGTCAGATGGCGCTTCATTGCTTGGATCTCTTTCTGCTTCCTCTGGAGGGAAAACAGAGAAGAGAGGTAGTCTCATCAGCTACAAACCCAGAGATGAGAGGGAAGATGCGGATTAGCTCGAGTTTCTCTTAAATTGCTCCTTTTTGATTATTTTTAGGATGCTTTTTTTTTTTTTTGCCCTCTATGAAGAATTAGCAACTTGGGAAAGCTGGTTCACTTCTGCAATCATTTCTAAGATAGTGAGAAGTTTAGGTGTGATGAATTCTGTCATTCTGATACTCTTCACATGTACAGCTAAGTGTGAATAATTGCCTACTGCAGACAAAGAAGAGTAGAATTTCTGCGACTAAGGCATCATCAGCATCCAGTGATCACATTGTAAATTATCTATGCTATTGGCTGAGACTGAGCTCTTAGGTTCATATCCGCTCTGCATTGTCCAGTACTGGACCTCCTTCATCAGTGTGGACAGATGTGTGTGGGCACCTTATGTGCCAAATTTCTACATCTTTCCTATGCTTTCTAATGAAGTAATATTGTTCCCTAAGAAGAATAGGAGCAAAGTGATTCTGATGATGAAGAAATGTATGAGAAAAAACATATAAGACTTGTGTTCTCAAATTCTATCAGTCATCTTACCTCTTCTCCTGTCAGGAGAAAATTAAATTTAACTAAACTTTTTTGTTTTCTGAGAAGAGGCAATGAAATAAAATTGAAAAACATTATTTCGTTCAATTGTCAGGAGATAAGATAATCTAGGTTGGATAACATCACTTGATCACATTAATTGCTGCAGATATTTTCTGGTGTTCAGGCTGTAGGCTGGGGAATTTTATATCTGTTCTGTTCATCATTATAACAACTTGGAATGTAGATATTAACTATGTTGTGTAGTTTGATACATTGATACATTGATAGGCTGAGGGCTATACCCACAAAGTAGTGGCTTATAGTTATGGATACAAATTGAGAGTGTAGTGGGACGGCAGCCTTCGTTTCATGATTTTAGATGATATTTGCCTAGAAATGTAAGCAGAGTTTTTCTCTTAAGTGGTTTTCCTTTCACTCTTAATAATTCTAGCAATAGCTTCAGCTACTGAACAAATGTTACTTACTTTATTTGCTTCCAGTTGGGATTCTAGAGTTCCTGTTTCTTTGAGCAAAGATCTAGTTAAAGATCAAGAGGAAACATTATTCATACAGTCAGAGGTCAATATTTCATGCAAACATACCAACTCAAATCACCTATTCTGCTTCTACTTCTCCCAAGTTACTTGGCTTGTTTTGAAAAGATGCATAAAGCCAAATCTTTGTAATCAAATTCTTCCGTCTCTGGCAATCTTTCCAGATTAATGAGAAAGGAAGTAATGCCTATCCCAATTTTTCTCTGCCTAGAAGAAGGCTTTCACTTTGTCTCTCCTAGGTCTGTTCTCATACATAGTTATTCTTAGATACCCTTGGGAAACTAGTTTGAGGATCATGTGGCTACCAAAATGGTGAGCGCTCAAGTATCATAAAGGATTTGCATATAACCCACATATTTTCCCATACACCTTAACTAATCTCTAATAATGCCAAATACAATATAAACATCCTGCAAAGTAATTGTTAGCTCATAATGTTTAGGGAATGTCTGTATGTGTTCCTCACAGACACAATTTGCTTTCTGAATATTTTCTTTTCCCTTTTTGGGATATTTATTCTACAGGAGATGTGAATCATGAGGGCAGAGGTCAGAAAATCAGCTGCAATGAATGCTGTCAATCTATACTAATCCACAGATGCAGGCAACCTAGACACAGAGGGTTGACTCTGCAATGAAACAATGAAGGCAGGGTGCCACCTGCTGGAGGATAAGTATAAAGATTTATTTCTCACTCTACATTTTAGTTTAGGTACTATCAGATCACAATGGGATAATGATGCATCATTACTGAGGCCTCTTTATCTAATTCTTGCATAATAACATGAGAAAGAAAACATGATAAGGTAAAATACTGACCCATCCAGAAAATAGGCCCTGGATATGGAGAGCATGGAGCAGGAATCAGAAGAAAGAAAAGAGAAACAATACATTAATATAGATCACTTTAATAATCTTATTTCTTCAGGTTTACAAAACATTCTAAGATTTTTGCAGTCACAAAATATAAACCTGTCCACATGCATTTCCAGGGGGCCTCCCTTTAAGAAGCTCAGCATTCCACAAAGCTCTTTGCTTCAGCACAGAGAACACGCATGCAGGGGATGTGCTTAGCACCGAGCATCCACTGCCAGGGTATGACAAAAGGTCAAAAGGCAGAGGCAAGGGGAGGCCTCAATGCTTCATCTGATCTTTGTCAGATGTTTTATAGACCCGACACAGGGTCTTACTTTGTTCATTGTTTCATTTATCCTTACCAATGAGTATGTAGGGATGGCCATACTTTACAAACACAATTCTGACCCACGTAATGGACACACTCTACTAACTTTGAGCTTTTATCCTAATAGATTCCACCCTCTGTATCTATTCTGTTCCAGGTCATCACCCAGAAGGCATGACAAATTTTATCTTCACATACAAAGCATTTTACATTGATTAATATAATTAACCTAGATTATCCCTTTGATTCTCATGACAGCTTGGGTGGTTGGGCAACATGCTTTGTATTGTATAAGTTGCATGGGTAAATATGTATGTGACCTTTAAACAAGTCAAGTAGTCTATTGAACTTCCTTTCACTCTTGGGAGCAGAGGTGCAGAGGTAACGACAGCTGCTCTGGGTACTCTTCAAGGTAGCTCTGAAGGTTACATAAATACAATAATGGATATGGAAGTAGTTTGAAAAAAATACAATGGATTATATACACGTGATTTTTATTGTTCTGATGTGCAATTATTTCCTTCAGTTGAAGGAAAATCAGGGGGATGAAGAGAGGGCCCTCAATGGACAGCAATTCCCTCTCATGATTTTTGCCAGGACTGATCCAGAAACAAATTCTAATGGACCATAAAGAACAGACAAAATGTCATGAGTTGGACATAGACTACATCATATAAGAACCCCTTCATTTCCTTAAGACACATGCCATATGCTGGGCGCTGGTGGACACATGCCGTATGCCGGGCGCTGGTGGCTCATGCCAGTAATCCTAGCTCCTCATGAGGCTGAGATCTTAGGTTCGCGGTTCAAAGCCAGCCCGGACAGGAAAGTCCGTGAGACTCTTATCTCCAATAAACCACTAGAAACCCTGAAGTGGCGCTGTGGCTCAAGTGGTAGAGCGCTAGCCTTGAGCTGAAGAGCTGAGGAACAGCGCCCAGGCCCAGATTTCAAGCCCATGACCGACCAAAAAAAAAAAAAAGACACATGCCGTCCCGGTGGCAAATAACGTGTGCAGCCTAGGCCTGCAGGTTTGGAGGGAGCAGAGCCTACCTCGTCTCCTGAACCCACTGGAGGAAGGTACTGGCATTCTGTTCAAACTCCTGGCACATCTCAAAATTCTTCACCTGTCTCTCCTCTTCCTTTTGCAGCTCCTGCTCCCGTTCCTAAAAGCCCAAACCACAGACAGCAGAGTTCACAGCACAGGCCTTTCCTTGTGATAAAGGAACCAGTTTGTAGACTCAGCTGCACATCCTTCTCTCAAAATAGTTCCCATCTCCCACAAGTGAGTGTCCATGTGCTTATGCAAAAGCCATGAACTTTTCATCATTACAACTTCAATCCTCTACTGGGGCTTCCATTCACTTCCATGAATCATTTCTCAAACCCCAAAGCATGAGATTATCCAAACGATGGCACATCAAGTATGCCAATGGTACTGTAGATAATGCAGGTTTTCCAATTTTTCTCAGTCTTGGTTCATGGCTTGATACTGACAGTCTTCCTTTATTTCTCAAAAGTCCCTTGATTCTGATAATATACTATGTGGTCATGGTCACTACAGACAGAAAACATCTTAGTGCTTCCCTCCGCACCTTACCTCAATGATATCAGGCAGGTGCTTCCAGATCCTTTCTAGCACCTCCACTGTTAACCAGGTATAAGGGCTAGAGGGCACATCTAAGGCCTTAATCTTCTGGTCTAGCTCTAGCAAATAGTTGAAGTCTTCTTGAGCTCCAGCCAAGGAGGCCAAGAAAGCCTCATGGTCCTTCTGCAGCTGGCGAATCTCATTGAGGGAGACACAATGCACAGGCTCCGATAGGTCCTCTTCTGCATTCTCACACCAATTGTTGAAAGCTGATGCCTTGTGTGCAAATTCCATGAACAGCTCCTCAGCCTGCAGGGAAAGCAAAAGGTACCCCCATCTTTCCTGATAAAACACCTCAGCTAAAGAGAAGGTTGAGGATTAAAATAAATGATAGACAGTCCCAATGCAAACTAAAACCAACAGGCACAAGGTGATCACACACACATATATATATATATGTATCTATATATGTATATATAGATACATATATATGTATCTATATATAGATACATATATATATATCTATACATACATACATATATATATGTAAAATCACCAGTCTAATTGCTTTAGATTTTCATTTGAGATTTATTTCTGTAGGCTCTTCAGGAGAGTAGAAATTAACTAGCAATCCAGAGTCTCTGACTTGCATGTTTGTTTCTCTATATCTCTAACTCTGTGCCTTAACTTCTTGCCAAGTGCAGTGTTCCTTTTGGTCTAGGGGTATTCAGTAATTTTACTAACCCCTGAGATTTGTTTTTTTTTTTATTTTTATTATCAACATTGCAGATACTGTAACAGAAAGTGCTGGAAAGAACATTTGAATCGTTCCTTCTATACAGGACTTACTAGTCTACACTCATGTCTAGATCCATCTTCTCCTTTAAATAGTAATAGCTCAGAAAGGTAAGAAATGGTGCAGGCAACATTGTCTTATTTCATAAGAGGATGCCACCAGTTCAGAGATATTACATGACTCCTGGAGGCGATCTCATGTAAGAGTGGTTAGTACAGTTGAGAACATGTTATAGCTACTTTTTCTGTGCTCCATTTGCTCCTTGAACAAAGCACAAGGCCAGCTTTGATCTTTGCCTGTCAGTTTTGTTTCGTTTTACTGTGAAGTAAAGCCTTCTACCCTCTTGTCCCATTTGCCCTTTCCATTATATGTACCTTACTTCCACCTCAAATCAGTTGCATAACTGCTCATTTTAAAAAAGCTTCCATCTTAATGGATGAGTCATACTCTGTTGTGAACATATGCCACATTTTCTTTATCTGTTTATCCACAGATGGGTGTCTAGGCTGTCTCCATGACTTGGCTATTGTGAATAGTGCTTCAATAAACATTAGTATGAAGGTATCTCCATTATAATGAAAACCATTATTTTGTACAATTAATAGATACTAAAATTGCTTAATAACTTCCTACCAATCTAAAAAATGAACTCTTTGTTGCTCTGTAAGATTATTTTCTTGACTGTGTGTGGTACTTCATATCCATAATCCCAGATACTTGAGACACAGATCATAGCTTGAGCCTAGCCTAAGCAAAGAGTTAGCAAGATCCTATTGCAACAAATAATCTGGGCATAGTGGTACATACTTGCTATGTGAGAAGCACAGAAAGTATGATTGTGGTCTGTGATGGGCCCTAGGTAAGAATATAAATCCTATTTAAAAAATAAAGCAAAAAAGAAAAAAGAAGAAAACAACCCTCAAACAACAAAAACAAACACAAAACATGAGTTCTTGGCTCTAGTGATACAAAAATTTGCCTAGCAAGCACAAGACCCCGAGTTTAAAACCCAGTACTGCCAAAAACTAAATGTCTTCTTGATCACTTTTAATGGCTTACAACATCTATAGATTCTGTAAGCAGATTTCTACTATTTCTAAATTCTGCAGCCACTATCCAGATGATAGAGATGGATCATGCTTCATCACTTTTCCTTGTCTTACCTTCTGTAGAGGCAGCTGCTTCTCTAACAATTTCTGTCTGTGGTCTGCAGAGGCTTCGAGCAGCTGCTCCCAGCGCCGCAGCAGGGCAGTATGGCGCTCCTCAATGGCTTGGCTCTGGTGATGCTGAGCAGCCACAAGTTGGTCCTTCAGCTCAGTGATCTCTGCAAGTCGCTCTTGCTGGAAACTCTGAAGACTGGCGTCCAGTGTGTCCTGAGAAGACCCATAGACAGGTTATTAATTGGAGAATTGAAATAGGCCAAGGGCCAGGCACACCCAATGATGGCCAGCTTTTAATTATGGACAAGATAAAAAGTGAAGTGAGCCAGTCCTAAAGAAATTTAGGCCTCATGGCTTCCCTTATTTGCAATAATTAGCATTATGTATAGGACAATCTTATCAGATGAACTGAAAAGCTCAAACATTATGTACATATGATCATATAAGTTGATGCTAAGTGAAATGGACACAAGAGGTCTGTCTTTGTTGTTGCTGGTGATTTTTTTTGTTTCCTCTGTATGTTCTTTCCCCTGTGGTATATCCCCTATTGTCACTGTACTTGATTTTGGTACCTTGCATCTTGTATATACATTTGTCTAATGGTGAGGGGAAGGGGAATAACAAAATGGTGAAACAAGGACACAGGACGACCCATCACAACAATGAGACCCACAGGACAGTAGATTGGAAACGAACTTTACAACTTTGGGTGGGGGCAAGTGGGGGGTGGAGAGGAGTGGGGGAAGTGGGGGAAGGAAGGGATAGTGGGGCATCAGCAAGGGAAGGGGTAACAATGATCGACAAGCAATGAATGGACTCGTTGCCTTATTCATGTAACTGTAACCTCTCTATACAACATCTTTACAATAAAATTAAAAGAAAAAGACAGAAGAACAAAAAAAAGAGTTGGAACAAAGAAAATATGTAAGTAGGGTTGGAATGATTGCTATGTTCCAATTATATAACATAATATAGTATATTATATAATATGTTATATATTGTATATAAATAGATATATACATGTATATAAATAAATACAAACATACATAGATATATACATACATTATATATATTTATATTTTTTATATATATTTGGTCGAGTGGCTTAAATGCAGGGTCTGGACGCTGTCCCTGAGCTCTTTTTCCTCAAGGCCAGTGCGCTACCACTTTGAGGCACAGTTCTACTTCCAGTTTTCTGGTGGTTAACTGGAGATAAGGGTCTAAGAGTATCACAGACTTTTCTTTGAACCATGATCCTCAAATGTGAGCATCCTGAGTAGCTATGATTACAAGTGTGAGCCATCAGTGCCTGGCAAAGTGAATGCATATTTTAGAATTAGATTTTAAATTATGCCAAAAGTTAGTATTAGTACGATATTGGAATGTGATACAGTATTGGAACCTGGCAGTTTCTCGATCCAAGCAAAATACTCAGGAAGACTGAGCTTCTGTGTGATGCAGGCTGAGGCTGTCACCCTGCGTCCATCCATCTGCTCTGACCTGCTTTGCCAGGAGAGTGAGGAAGGCAGTGAGATCCGCGCCACCGTCCTTGGCCTTCATGCTTGTTTCCTTCTCACCTAAAGAGTCAAGAACAACAGGAAGAAGAGAAAGACGGTGGTTTTTCTTTCTTTTTGTTTTTAATTGTGAAAATACCATACAGAAGGGTTACAATTACATGGGCAAGGTAATGAGTACCTTTCTTATCAAGCATTGATGTCTCCTCCTTTGTTTCCCCTTCCATCCCTTCCCGTTCCCCCCCACCCCTTACCCCCCTCTCCCCCTGGCCAAAGTTGTAAAGTTCTTTTTTCGACATAACGTCTTGTACATCTCATTGTTGCAATGGGTCCACCTGTATCCCTATTTAAATGATTTGTTTCTTCCTTTCCCCTACACAAATTATACCAACATCAAATACAATGGAATTCTATGCCTCCATCAGAAAGAATGACATTGCCCATTTGTTAGGAAATGGAAAGACTTGGAAAAAATTATATTCAGTGAAGTAAGCCAGGCCCAAAGAAACATAGGTCCCATGGTTTCCCTTATTTGCAATAACTAGTATATGTCTGAGACAAGCAGAAAAGGTCAGATAAGTTGATGTTGGGTGAAACAAACCCCAAGACAGTGGTTTTTCTATGTGCCTTTGTGAGGAGGAAATGGATATTTAAAATAAAGAGCAAGAAAATCTCTTGATTCTTTGGGTAAGCAACCCATTGATACGGGAGCACTGGTGGGAAATGGATGGTTTTTCTGTCCTCTAGCAAAATAAAAATGGAGGGATGTTGAGCTTTTTATCAACAATGGCAACTTGCAGATTGGATAAAAGTTGTGAGCAAGTCAACCCATGTTAGTTTATGTCCCAGAATGTTTTGTGATAGAGTCACCTTCCAGAATACCATACACAAAATTACCAGTCCTCTCTGAAAAACCCTGTGTTCTGTGGAATTGTGACACTTAAGCTTCCTATGTTCTCATGCATATATATGAATTCAATTTTGAATTCATAAGAGCAGGTTGTAAAGGAAGCATCTCTTTTTACCATGGAAAGGGAAAACAGCCCCCACATCCAATCTACACATGGAATTGATTAGGATTTCTTAGACCCAGAGAATCTGCTTCTGACTCTTCATACCTATCCAGGATTCTACCACGTCAGCCTTCCAGTTAAACTGCTGGAAGGCGTAGTCATCTTCCAACTGCAACTTCCAAGAAGCCATTGCTTTGGCCAGAGAAGGAGCCTTTTCACTGAGAGCCTGGATCTTGGCAGAAATCTTGTCCTTGTTCTGAGTTTCCTCCTGCAACAGCAAGGTTGGAAAAAGAAGGAGATGAACCTGTATACCGAGGAGTGTCCAGAGCGAGAAATGTGAATTTGGTAGTTCTTCTCATGTTTACCTAAGTGTGACTTAGAATCCCTGGATGAACTCACCTTACTCAGGATGTCTTCTGCTTGTGCATATACATTTTGCACTCGGATCTCATGGACAGCAAAATCAGTATCCAATGCTTCATGTTTCTTCAGCAAGTTCTGCATAGACAAATCAGTGAAATTAGAATAACTGGTCTGGAAAATCTGTATCTACTCACATTGAGGCATGTTGTGATACTATTCACCAAGGTCAGTTCAGCAAAAATTATAAACTGAGTTTATGTTCTATAGCCTCTGTAACAATGTTGCTGAATTGCCTTCTCAAAACACTTTCCTTTTCAAAGAAGGCACTCTTATGGGAAAAATGTCACAGGAATACAAGTGACACTGTTTCTAAATGATCATAATATGGCAAGTATTTTTTTTCAAGTTTTTCAATAAGGGTGTTGATCAACATGACCTAAGAATATCCTCATATTTAGGGTTCATATAATTCTATGAACCATTACATCTATCAGAAAAATGTTAAGTATTAAGAAAATTCTACAAACCAGGATACAGTAAAGTCACCAGCACAACCATGTTTATGCAGCACTATTCACTATAGCCAAGATATGGAATCAACCCAGATACCCCTCAATGGATGAATGGATCAAAAATTTTGATATATATATACACAATGAAAATTCACCCTTCCATTGGAAAGAATGATATTGTACTATTTGTAAAGAAATGGAAAGACCTGGAAAAATTATGCTAAGTGAAATAAGCCAGGCCCAGAGAGACGAAAGATGCATGTTTTTCCCTATATGTGAAATCTAGATTTGGCTTATAAACGTATACATAAACACACTGGGTAGTATGCAAGTGTATACAAATGAGGTAACTGAAATATAGTTGATTCAAAGGAGATCTCAAATAGTGTAATTCCTTAGAAATGCAAAGTTAAAGTTTGGCAAAATAAAACATTAGGAAGGGGCTAAGGGAAAAAGATAGATGAATGAAGAGGAAATAGTGGCAGTCAAGAATCCAATGGATATCCTACAAAATTAAGAAGAGTGAGGAAAGGGGTGGAGAGGGATGGATAAGAATGTTGAAAGAGGTGACATTAATTAAGATATATTGTATTTCACAAACTGCTTTGTTAAATGGCAACTCCTTTGTACAACTACTTAAAGATAATTTTAAAAATCAAAGAATAAAAGACCATTCTAAATCAAGGACAGATCCTATGGGCAGAATTTAAGGAGGGCATGGAAGTGTCTTTTTCTAAAATACCAATTAAAAAAAATGATGAGTCCTGCCTTCACGACTCACTAGTTCCATGGCCTTGTACAAGTTACTTATAGCTTCTGACCTTTGATTGTTCATATTTAAAATTGGAAGTATTATCCATATTTCAGCATCTCCATGGGGAGAAGAGTTCTGATTTTACATGTGAAAGCTCTGACTATTGAAGAATAGATCCCAGTAAAAGAAAGTGGGGAAACATGATACGTATTTGGCAGTTCTTCACCTGGGTAGCAGCCAGTGTGTCTCCAGAATCCCCTCGGGTAACCATCGCTTCCTTTTCAGTGAGCCACACCTCCTCTTCCTCAGCATTCTCCATGAATTGTAGGAATTGCAGAGACTCTTCCAGCCTCAGCCCTCTATAACAGGTGGTTAGCAGGGTAGGGTTAAGAAGGAACAGGTGAGCAGTGAGACCCCCATAGTGTGGCACAATCCCAACCAAAGCACACTAGCTGATTCCTACCAGGCAGCCAGAACGGAACAAGGGAAGAATACAGTCCGATACATGTCTGCTCATCAGTGGTGTGGATCTCCCTATGAAATGGAGGGAATGACTTCCCTACAAATTCATTTTGGGGCATCATCTACTCTCTAAGAAAATACACTGAAGAAAGGAAACCCTAAGCAAACAAAAGGCAATGCCTTCACTGTGAGGGAGTAGCCCTCTGTCTATGCCAAGCCCTGCCTTCTTTTCTTGCATAATAAATAAAACATAAAGCTAAGTTTCCCTTTATCCTCTACGGGAAAAATGTCTTCTTACTGCCAACAGGCATTGTTACATTTGTCACGGAGTTATATGGCTCATTTTGGCTGTGTGGATGCAAGGGAGAAAAATACTCCATGCTTTCAATACTAAGGTCAGTGTGTAATATCAAAACTGGCGAGATAAAGTGAAACAGAGAGTATGAAGGATGACAGTTATAGAAAATAATGGCAAAAGACAGCTGTGGAGGAAAGGCATTTTCAGAGAAGAAGCCATGATAATAAGTTTAGGATAAATGGCAGAAAGCTTCTTGGAAGACGTGGATCTTGAGCCAGGACTTTGGGGGAGAGAAGAGTCAGGCTGAGAGGGGACTTCAGCATCCTGGCCTTCCTGTGCCAAGCTAATACCTGAGGCCCAGGAAAGTAAGTGAGTCTTCTATCTCCAACTCACCGTTCCTTGGCCAACTCTTTGAGCTTCTCCCAGTGTTGAACAAACTGAGCCAGCCGCTTCTGGATCTCCTCTTGCTCCACAGCAGCCTTGTCTGCCAATTTCTCTGCCATGTCTAGTACGTTCTGAAGAACACACCCCCTCCAAGTTGTGTTATCCCCAAAATGATCTCCCCATTCAGCCAGAGGCCCTGACAAATTTTCTAGTCCTTTCCAATGTCCAGATCATTTATAACCTCTCTCCCCCCAGGAATCAAGGCAGTCCTAGAAATCCTGGGGAAATGAAGGGAGATGCAGCGAGAGCTATGATGCTAATCTTTTCTGAGTTGTTGGCAAATAATCTCAGTGCTCACTCTTCCCTTGATCTGCCTTATGGATTATTCATGGTCACATGGGGCCTCTGCTTCCAAGTCAGACCCAGAGCTATCTTCTCCTAAGACTCAAGTACAGTTTTCTCAGATGCCCCAGCCTACATCCCAACTACAAATGACTGCCCTGAATTGTTGGAGGTACTCCTTCCAGAAACCTCCTATTTAGAGGAGAGAAGAAATGTGGATGAGAAAATGAATTCTCTTTCTTTTTCTTTTTGGTCAGTTGTGGGGCTTGAACTCAGGTCCCGGGTACTGTCCCTGAGCTCTTTTGTTCAAGGCTAGAACTCTACCACTTGAGCCACAGTGCCACTTCCAAGAAAAGGAATTCTTATGAACTATATAACTAGCTCCTGGTTACCAAGGAAAATTACTTTCGCATTTTGTAACATCAACTTATCTACTACAACATAAGGGATGGCTATTATATGGATATGAATATCTCTTCAGGTTTGATATTCAATCTTACCTGGATAGCAGGTTCATGGGCTACCAGCTCCCCCTCTAAGCGTTTATGCCTTCTCAATAAGTTCTGAACGCTCTGCAAATCCCTTCCATAGTCCTGGGAGCTTACTCGTAACAACTTCTCCCTGAGACAGAAGAAGCAAGTAGAATATCCAGAGTTTAGACACCTGAGTCCATCCTAGATTAATGATTTTCTAAGTGTATGCACATGGGGAGGGGGAAAATTCTGAAACACATTGATGCCAATGCCAAAAATACAAGTGATGACAGAATCTTCCAGCAGTACTCTGCTCATGCCAATATAAATTAATGACAGTAACATGCAGGTGTCTCCCATGCACATGGCTGTAACAGTCACCCTATTAATCCCTGATTACCTGCAAATATTGTCCTTTCTGCACAAGAGCACACACTATTTCTCTCTCTTTAAAAAGTGAGAAATTATGTGTCTCCCATGGTTCTTAAAATTATTCTTTTCATTCATACCAGTAATGTAATTCAGCTAGATGTGTGTATAAAGAGTTGATATTACAGGTGTCATGACAATGGGATGGCTCCAATGCAAAACGTTTGAACAGTGCCATGAAGCAGATAGACTACATAGATAGGGTTATGCTATTTATTTTATGGCTTCTAAAGTTTTTTTTAAAATGTCCTATTTATTGCCCACTACAGTAGGTTTCCCTTACATTTTCTTTTCTTTTTTTTGGGGGGGGGTCCAGTCATGGGGCCTGAACTCTGGGGTGCTGTCCCTCAGCTCTTCAGCTCAAGGCTAGCGCTCTACCACTTGAGCCACAGCGCCACTTCTGGCTTTTTTCTTTGCTTATGTGGTGCTGAGGAATCAAACCCAGGGCCTTGAGCATGCAAGGCAAGCGCTCTACCACTGAGCCACCTTTCCAGCCCTCCCTTACATTTTCATTATTCATAAGAATCAGTAGATTTGCAGAGAAGAAATTTGATTAGGCAGGTTAAATAGGAAGTAGACAAAAATAACAAAAATGAGATTAGCAATAAAACCACAGCAGATACTGAGTCACATTTTCAGTGTTCATTTAGTGTAATGTATGAACTTGATACAGAAGAATAATGGGAATGACATTATCCACCGGTAAGCTGCATACACTCAGCTGGCTCCGTGTTATAAACTATTTAGACAAACATATATGGTACGTATGTAACTGCTTCCCTCTCCCTCCACACTTCCGTTTCTCTGCTTACACCCTATGGGGGCATTTGAGAAAGAGAAAATCAATATAATGAAAACATAATACTAAATTCCAAAAACAATTATAAATTTCATATCAGCATAAATATGAACATGCATGGTGAGTTACACAGCTACGGTCCTGGATTTTTTACACAGTGTGCTAAGGATACCTACTCTATCCAGGATTCCTCATCATCCAGGTCCTGGAAGAACTGGAATAAGGCATAGGCCTCCTTCAGTTTTTCATGGTGTGCAGCTGCCAGGCTCTGGACATTCTTGAAGCGCTCATTGGCACTATCCATTTTCTTCTCTATCTGGTCAACGTTGAAAGTACCACTGGAGATCAACTCCTTAGCCAGGTTATTCAGGTCCTTAAGTGAGTTCTAGAAAACCCAAGTGTGCTCATGAATTGCAAAGTACAGGCATTATATAGACCCCAAACTTTAATCACTACTAGTTCTGGTTCAAAACTAGGTCAACTAGATTATGATAATGGTGATTTTTGACATTATACAGAATTACATGTTTTACACATAGGTGTGTGAGTCAGGTTGGGTATGGGTCAGATCAGTGAGCAGTATGGATAATAACATGACCATGTCACTGCAACTGTGTGTTTGTTCTCTTTCTCCTGTTCTTCCTTCCATCATGTTTGCCTGTGCTTTCCCTCTCTCCCCACCTAGGAAACAAGATCTTGATGAATAATTACTCGTATAGGATAGTCTCCCCTCACAGTACTGAATTTGATGACAATGCTTGATTGGTCAAAACATCCAACAACATTAATTTTATTTGTAACATCCCTAGACTGACTCTGGAACACATCCAGGCTCTTCTATGTTTTGTTCCCGTTTTAACACTGTTCCCAAGTTGTCAGCTAGGAAATGCTGCCAAATCCTATAGATTTAAATTTAGAAAATCCTTAATTTTTTGCCTTTTCATCGTGGCTCTAGAATACCGAATAAAAGAGCTGGCATGTGATTCTCCAAAATGAAATTAACATCAACCAGAACTTTTTGTCACTTCTCCAGAACAAATTTTTGCTCTTAGGTAGCTACTAGAATCCTCAGGATTTCTAGAATGTATGTATACTTCAAATGGATTCTGTGTTCTCATCTGATTTTTTTTGTTTCTAATTTTGTAATAGAAATTTAAATTTTCTTTCAAAAGGTTTATAATGTATGTAGTTAGGGAAAACATCCAGTTTATTTACATGTATCAGTAAAAATACATACAAGATAATTTTTAGGATCCATTTTCTGGAGTCTTAGAGTTTATCTTTTGGGTGGGAGGGAGTAGTACTAGGGCTTGAACTGAGAGCCAAGGTGCTTTTTTGCTCAAGACTGGTGCTCTGCCACTTGAACTATACCTCTACTTCCAGCTTTTTGGTGGTTAACTGAAGTGATGAGTCACATGAACTTTTCTGCCTGGATTGGCTTTGAACCAAGATCTTCAGATCTCAGTCAGCTAAGTGGATAGGATTAAAAGGATGAGCCACTGGCACCTGACTAGACTTTTTATCTTATTGGTAATTGGTAGTGACTGTCACAAAGGCTCTGAATCCCTTGGACTTAGCCTGGCTAAAATGAGTGCTGGTTGAGAATATCAAGGTGAGTTTTGCAAGGCTGAGTTCCCAAATGATCTTCTAAGACAGACAAGAGAGAGATGAAAACCACTTCTATTCCTTCCAGAAGAGCTGGACTCCAGCACTACTTACCTCTCGAGCCACCATCTCTGCTTCCAGGAGTTGATGCTTTTTTAGCAGGTTCCCTGCAGAAGCCAAGTCTCTGGCCTGATCTTTCATGGCTAGCAGTCCCTCTGCCTAAAACAGAGTAGTAGATAACAAAGTTGTTAGATTTAAACTGTATTTAAGGAGAATACAATTTGGTACCCATGTCCCCCAAATTTTCCCAAGAGGCTCAAGTAAACCATTCATATATAAATTCATCACTTAACAAGTATTTACTCAATTCCCATGCTCCAGCCATTTTCTGGTGCAATTACCTCCGAGAGCCAGAACTCAAAGTCCCGGATGCTGGTGTTGAATCTCTGCTGACGACTGGCCTCATTGAGCTTCTGCCCTTTGTCAGTGGTTCTCTCAAGGAGGTAGTCCCAATGTTCCTGCAGCTCATCCAATTGCTTCTAGCTCAAAGAAGGCGAGAGCTCATTATAACTGTTAGGACCCTTAGTCCTGTGGTACACGAAAAGCGTAATGTACAGAGGATTTGGATATAGAGTTTATTCAAATTTTTCTGGTACTTATATCTGAGAGAATAATAGAAGCTGTTGGATGGAAGGCAAAGGTTGGGGAAAACAGTATCCTGAAATGCTTACACAGACTTATTCTACATGCCAAGAGATTTTTGGAGGAAATACCAGAAAATGTAAAGATAAGGATGATAAGACTTATGTGGAATGCTCTCTTGGAGTTGTGGGAACCGAGTGAGAAGGGAGTGACGTGGCCTGGGCAGCACTGCTTTCTTTTTCCTTTGTGCAACAGAAGGAAGACTATGGCCCACAGAACACATGCCACATGGGAAACTTTGAATTAGTCAAAGGCTTTTCTCTTCATGTGACTTTGCAACTACCAAATGGGTACATTCTGAGCAGAACCTTTACCTTCACTGTCTCTTCCTCCCCATCGCATGCCTTCCGTTCAATTAGGGAGTGCCCTAGGTCGATGACTCCAGTCACTTGCTCAGTTCGACCAGTGACTTCATTTTCAAAGGTCTGGTGTTTCAGATATTTTCTCTGGAGATAAAGCAAAAGTTAAAACTGAGTTTGAGTGATCCATGGATTTATTACAGGTAGTTCTTAACAGACACAGCTGAAAGAAAGAAAGAAAAGAAAAGAAAGAAAGAGTAAATATTTTGAAACAAAAGTTTATTTCCATACACTCATCATTTAGCTAGTTGATACAGACAGAAGCTCTGTCAGTCCCATATTATTGTCAGTTGTGTTTCTATAATATGATCTATATTTTTTCTGCCTTTAATTTTATGAAAATATGTCTCTCCCAAAGCAAGCCATACACCATCAGAAAAGTAAAAGTTATAGAAATCCTCTGAAGCCCCAATGGGCAATGTCATATGTTTAAGTGATAAAATCTAAAATTTTAGATTTATTGAAAGATGATGGCCTGTTTTTAGCAGAAGTTAGGCAGTGTTTTAGGAAAAAGAATCAAGCATATGCAATACAGCATGGAACTCTATGTATTCTGAGTATTGGTGTTTTTTTTTCCTTAATGACAATCTCCTTGCAACCACATAATGTAGATATTGTGAATTACCTCCTCATATAGAAAAAAGTAAGATAAGGTTAGTAAGATAGGAGTTCAGTATAAGAGAATGACCATTCAATCAACAATCTAGGTATGAGAACATTTTCTGAGATTTCTGATTTGAACTTACCTGAATGTTCGTGGTGTCTTTGTATGATTCATCACAGGCTGTGGGTAACATCTCACTGATCCATTCTTCTAGCTCCTCAAGGTCATGGTAGAATTGTTTCAGATCAGCTTGGTCTCCAAGCTTGGTCCTCTCAACAACCAACTGTTCTTTGAGAGCATTCCATCTGGAAGAAGGGGCCAGATCACTCCCAGCCCTCCAACATTCCCAATAGATAAGAATTCTTTCCATTCTCTAAACTATCCCTTTTCCATGCACACAGTCTCATGGTTTTCAGATATAAAACACAGTGGTTAACTGAGGTAATTTATAAGTCACTTCCAAGTCTTTCACTCTGTATACAAGTCTAGACTAGAAAATCTCCCAAGATGTCAGGTTAGTTAAAGGCATGGGGAAAGGACAAGGACTCAGAGTATCACCCTCATAATGATGCCAGCAAAGAGAGATTCTGCTATATTTTCCTGTAGCAGTAGGTCTGACCTGTTGAGCACATGTTGGAGCCGAGTAACAATTTCTTCTTTGGCATAGTGGTCATCAGCTATGAGTCTATCAGCAAAATGTTCTAGGTCCGTAATCTTCCCTTCCTGGATAAAGCAAAAGAAAAGATCCCAGATGCTTGGAAAGCAGGCATTGGAGTAATCCCTGACTGGATCCTAGAGTAGAATGGAGATTCCCTTTGTGGCTTCAGGGGCCAGAATCCAGGACCAAAGAATACATGCCTGATGGGCAGGTGCATTTTAATTCATCAGTTGGAAAAATGGTGAGTGATCATACTGAGATGATCTGCTTATATAGTGTTGAGGTCCCTAAAGAACAGACGATTCTGATGGCTATTGTCATGGATGAATCCTGCATCAGATGGGGTGTTGAAATACAGACATTTATAGTCCCAAATTTTTGGGTTTTGAAAGGTGAATTCAATTGTCATAGGTGATTTGGGTAAAACACTGTCAAGCTACCTTACCTGATCCCCACCTCTGTAGGAATGTAAATGTGACTCAAAACACTTAGAAACCAGAAAGCCAGGATTTGTGTCATAATTACTAACAGTTATGACTAGAACTTTTATATTAGCTTATCACCTGGGCAATGATTGCTTTGTCCAAATCATCCCGTTTCTTCATCAAAGTTGCCAGACTGCTTAAGGAATCCTCATCATCTGACCTCAGAGAACTCTCACGTGCTACCATCCAGCTCTCAATCTGTTCACAGTCCCCTCGGAACAACTGTAGGGATAAAATTAGAGAGATAAGCCATGTTTAGTCCAGTTGGACCAAGGGAATTAGACTCTCCCTCTCCACGGTAGCAACACTAAAGATCCTGTGAGGGCTGCCTACCTTCTTCCAAGAAACATACAGTGAATCTGAGCTATAACCGAAACTTGTTGTCTTTCCTAAGCACACACTTGATAAAACAGCTATACCAAGTTTAAGGGTGTTATCTCCTATATCTTATACCCAGTAGAGACTGAATGGTCATTTCAAGACTTACAAACATTATCCATAGAAATAGCCTTTTAAGGGTTCTACATTCATATTCCTTAAGTATACCTTCCTTCTCAGCTTTGACATATTGATATATTTTGTTTTATTAACAACCATCTCTTGTAATAGAATGATGTGTTCTACATTTCTAATTTCATCATTAAAAAAATGGAACACTATTTTACTAATTTTTGTGGCATCAGGACCTGTATATTACATGCTCTCAATGAAAATCAATCTGTCTTTTAAAAAATCAATAAATTTTAATCACATCCTTTTGTATGGTACTATTTGTTTGTTTTTCTAACAGGGATAAGAGTAGAGAAAACAGTAATGCTCATCCTACAATGCAGAGTACTGAGCAGATAAGAGATGCCCTTGTGTTTATAACAGAAAGTCCAGTGCATTGAATGCCTGTAATAAGCATATAAAATGGCTATAAGAAACAGACTGCAGCTAAGCCCACATAACTGTTGGGAATTTGCTGTACCTGCAGTTCCAGACATTGGCCTAGCATCTTCTTGCGTTGTTCCCAAGCCTTCTCCAAATCATCTCTTTTGTGTTGAACATCCTGAAGCTTATTGGCAATCTCAGGGCTATTGCGGTGCCCACTCTTTATAAGTTCTGTGCCAAAGTCTGCTAAGGCCTGGAAGGTGGGAGCCTCTGCCTCCATGTCTACACGATTCTCCTGTGGGAAAAGGGGGAAAGAGCCTGGTAAGACCAATCCTGGTGAACAATTTTAAATGAGGTCATGTGACAAGTGGTTGTGGGCTTGGTAGCTATACCTCGTGTCGCTCCAGTAAGATCTCTGTGCTAGTTAAGTCTTCAGCCAACTCAGGGGATGATACAATGACACCAATGCCTTTGATCCAATTCTCTAGGTCACTAGGGAAATAGACATTGGGATCATCAAGAAAACTGCAACCTAATACAAGGTGGGCTGTCAAGGCCTATTTTCCACTCATGGTAGTCCAGAAGTTAGACAAAATAAACTAAGATGTACTAAGGAGGGCAAAAAACAACCATGCCTTAACTTAAACACTATGTATGATGGTTAAATTAAATATCTTATAAAGAATATTCTTTTTTACTTTTAATTTTTTTTAGTGTCAAGATGATGTACAGAGGGGTTACAGTTACATAAGTAAGGTAATAAGAAATCTTGTCGAACTTGTTACCCATTCCATCATTTTTCTCCTACTTTTCCTCCTCCAGGCCCCTCAAGATAAACAGATCATTTCCAACATGTTGTCCTGTGTATATCGCTATTACATTGGTTCCCCCGTGTCCTCAGAAGAATGTTCTTGTTTAAGATTAATTCTCTGGGTACAGAGAATTTTTTTTATAAACAAAATTTATTCAAGCAACTCGGGAAAAGGAAACCAAAGTTAGACACTAATAGCTCCTTTAAACTCTAAAAGCAGGACTATCATAAAGTTGTAAAGTAGTCTTAGGTTTCACAAAGTCTGGGGCATTATATCTCTGCAATAGTAAGGAATAAGATTTCATATTAAGGAGGTGTCACGTGACCTGTAACATTAATGATATATATGAATATATATGATTTTCAGGAATAGGTGTGGGTACTCTCTGTTTATATTGTCATTTTTAAACAGTGGATTTTCATATATGCACATACATATACCCATAAGATGCTAAATTAGAAGAAAATCATTTGGCTAGTTTGTAAAATAATTTTCTTCAAAAGCACTGTGTTCTGAGTTACTCCTTCCTGGATTTCCAGTACCAATTGTTCCTCCAACCAGATGGATATAATGGGGTTGAATTGTTCCACAATGTGTATATTTGCAAGGTAGGTTTCGAGTTGTGATAATGTGTAGACTGTATTCTCTAGGATTTGATTCTAACATTTTACAATATTTACCTCTCCTTACCACCCTCGCATACAAAGCCACACTTCGGTTTTCCTGTTTCATGGACCTTTTTTGATTTTCTCATCTTTGTGCCTTTGTTTGCTCAGTTCCAGCTGTATAAATAGCTTTCCCTTTTGTTAAAAGCTTGACTTGTAAGGAATAAAATGCTCCTTTGTCTCTATAATGCAGTATCTATTTTGTCTAGCACTGTGGGGTGTGTGCGCGTGTGCGTGTGTGTGCGTGTGTGTGTGTATGTGTGTGTGCGTGTATGTGTGTGGGTGTGTGTGTGTTTTGTTTCATCATGGTTATCTGTAGTCTGCCTCTCCAGTGAAAAGAAAAATCTTTGAACCCTACCACTCAAGGCATAGCACTGTAGATAGAATATGTGCTTTACAAAATCTTACTTAATTGGCAAATGTGGCTTTATGTTCCTTAAATTTAATATTTTATGGCTTCAAGGCACTGAGCCTGACATCTAGACATAGAATGTGGTAGTTTACAAACTCAGCAGTGAACAGTCCCTGAATCCCCACTGCTCTGGCAGGATCTGCTCGGTGCCAGATATGGACACTGCCCATCTTGTCAGGTGGAAGTCGACCTTTTGAACTTTACCTGGCTTTGCTGAGGAACTGGTAGAACTTCTGGGCCTCATTAAGGTTCTCCTTACGATCCTCTGTAAGTCCTTGTAAATAATCCCAAGCCTGGTTTAGCTGTGTTCGCTGCCTCTGAAGGTCCTCTGTGGCGTCGGGGTGGGATTCGCAGAGTCTGTCTGCTGTCTCCCCTAACATAATGACCTGGGGGAGAGAAAGCAGGTCTGGTAATCACCTGAACCTTAGTGGAAGGAGAGTCCTGAGTCTTAGCAGTCGTCTCTTGAACTAGATATCTGTTCACACACACATAAAATAGTATCAACCTTTTACCTCATAGGATAATGTTTTTGAGGCAGTCAAAATGGACCTTAGTCTTCATTTTAAAAGGGGAAGTCAAGCCAGGTGCTCATGATTCACATCTGTCATCTTAGTTACTCAGGAGCCTGAGATCTGAGGATTACAGTTCAAGGCCAGCCAGGGCAGACAAATCAAAGAGACTCTTATCTCTGATTAATCAGCAAAAAGCCAGAAGTAGAGGTGTGACTCAAGAGGTGGAATGCCAAGCTTGAGTGGACAGTGTGTAAGCCTTGAGTTTAAGTCCCAAATCTGGCACAAAAATAAGTAAATAAATAAGTAAATACATAAGAAATCACAGGGAATAGTGGTTAAGTGACAATGCCAGCTAGGGAGCCAAACGTTCTGATTCTTCATATAAAACCCACCTTTGTCTCTGAGTCAAATCACCAACCTGTATGCTAGCTACAATGTGTCTAGCAAGCTCCAGGCTTTGCTTTTGGGTTCTGATGGAACATATCCACTTCCTACCAGAGGAAACTGCATAATTATTGGATATAGGCCTGACCATCCTGCATATACTATTTTTCCTTAGTCACTAGTCTCTGTTTGCCACAAGTTCTGATCACAACACCTATTAAAGTGGAAAAGAGATATAGAGGGCTCACTTGGAAAGAGGAAATTCAATGTATGTTTCTCCATGTTTGTATCCACATGAGTATGAACTTTTAGTGGATTTGCTTTAGGGCAACGTGCAAGAACAAATGTGGTTCAAAATCAAGAAGCTATTAAGTAGAGCTGCGGCTCAAGTGGAAGAGTATTAGTCACCAACAAAATGAAGCTCAAGGAAGTGTCTGGGCACTGAGTTCAGGCCCTAGGACTGACTGCAACTGAATCATTCAGTCTGGGGCAGATCAGTGGCAAAGTGCTTGCCCAGTAAGTACAACATTTTGGGTTTGAGTCTCAGTACCAAAAAATAAGACAAAGAAATATCGTTAACAAAACAACCCTAAGTAAGGCAAATAAGAGTAAAAGAGAACCAGGGAAGGAGACACTGATACAGGCATAAAATGGAGAGGAAGGTGTTAGAAATCTTGGAAGCACTGTCTTACCTTTTCCCCCAGAGGAGTGAGGTCTCTCTCAAAGCCATCGTGCTGTCGCTGAAGGGCTTGGACACTGAGCAGGTCTGAGCCAGGGTCAGCAGCATTGAGGGCTTGGCATTTCTTCTCAATCTGTTCCTTTGTGTCATCTGCTTCTCTGGTGAAGAATTTAGGAATAATGTGTGCCAGAGGCAGACTAGCCGTGTTCACCAGAAAGTCACCACTAGAACCAGCACCATCACCATCACCACCACCACTAATGTCATCCTTTAGATGGGCTGGGCTTTAGGCTCCTAAACCTTCACAACTCCTAGTGGCGTAGGTACCATGGCCATTTCCAATATGTCTAACCAGAAAACTAGGACTGAATGAAAATAAATATTTCTCAAGGTGTTACCATTGCCAAGTGGTAGGTCCTAAATTTGAACTAGGTTGTCTAGCTGAAGAGCTAAATGTGTGTGTGTGTGTGTGTGTGTGTGTGTGTGTGTGTACATCACAAGCTAGTTTGAACAGTGAAGCCCATCCAAGTTTCTGTTCTCTCTTCCTTTCATCCTTAAAAATACATTTATACATATGAAAGTGTTTTGTTTGTATACATGTTTTTATATGTGTTTCCTAGGTAAGTAAGAGTTTGAGAATCACACTTGAAAAAGTGTTGAAGGAATGGTCAAAGTCAATGAGATACCTCTTGTCCCTCACTGCTTACTTCAGGTTCAGGAATATAATGTTTCTACTTCAAGTTTGATTTGCTGCCTTGGAAGCATACATAAACTACTAATGATGTGCCAGGGCCCAACCTGGACATTAGAAAAGTGAAGTTTGTTGTCTTGGGCTATGCAGAAGAGCTTAATCTCCTATTAGCAAACTGTCTTCATCTCAGCAAGAAGGGTGCTACTGGTGGCTACCACAGCAACCAGGTCCATGGCTTCGGCGTGTGGGTTCTGAGTAGCAATGCTTTTTGGAGTAAAAATTCTTACCTATGAAACATCTGGACAGCATGGGCACTGCTTAGCATCTGCTGCTGTTCATCTGCTAGCCTCTGCAAGGAATCCCAGCGGGTATTCAACTCCTAAAAGAAGCAGACACATAGGACTTTAGCCAGAGAGCTCGCTAGCTCAAGTGAGCCAATGGCACCTATGGTCTGTTGGGATTTAAATGATTATTTTCATGTTATCTCCTTCACAAGTTGCATAGTTCTACTTTTTCCTTGAATAGCTCAAGCTTGGTTCACTTTCATGGCAATGCAGAGACAAAGGGATTTCTGAATGTTGATGATGCAGGTGTAACTATCATGCTTGTAGCCAGGATCACTGCTTACTGTTACAAAAGGTAGATAGGAACTTCTGAAAAAAATAAGTGCAAGTATTGTGTTAGTCCTTCCATGCTGGCTTTTTTTCTCTATGGCAAACAATACCTTTCTGTATTCTGAATTGAATAGTGGTCTCTTCAAGTATTGTTTTCCACAGGTGATAGATACATTATTTACATGAAGATTCATTCTTGCTTTTATTCAAGGAAAATTGCCACAGAAAGCAGAGGGGAACTTATTCTTCCTGGCTTATAACAAACCAGAAAAAATTTGCCTTCTGTTAACATTCATTTGGTCTTTTGTGGAGTCATAGCTCCAGACATAGATCGGGTGAGTTATTCCCTTTCTTCAATCTCTGCAGATAAGGAGGGAATTCTTAAATTCTCTTATGTTTCTCTAAGCTCATCTCTTCCAGTGAACTTTGCTGATTATCTTCTTTCCCACTACCCTAGTTCCTTTATCCATACTATCTTTGCATTCATATATTTGAATACTTGATTTAGTGTGTGGAAGTGAAGGGAGATGGGTATGTGTTGTAATTTAATGATTGCAGGTCAGTTTAAGTACATGTATTCTGCATTTTCAATTCAAGATAATTTCAGTGGTAGGTCTAAAGGGTAAGAACTTTATGTTCAATATGATGAAACACATCAGAGAAAATTAAGAGGAAATGTAGAAATGATCCTGTTCTACTTTGGGAATGCAAAGACAGAGCCACAGACAGCCAAGAGCAGAGGCAGGATTTAAACCCAACTCTCCTCCAGATCAGTTTGATATTCTTTAAACTTCATAGTAATTTCTCTTTAAACTAAATCTGCATTTGAAGTCCCAATTCTTTGATCCTTCTCTCTCCAAAATGCTGTGCGGGCACACAGAGACCAAGCTGAACCTGCTTTAATGATGTTCATTAGAAAATAAAGGTGGCTGGATTGTGTGGACTGCTGTGCTTAGTGTGTCTTCTAGCCAGTTTCATAATTTTTGGAGCTGTGACTTTGTGCATGTCACAACTGATCTGTGGAGTATGAAGCCAAATACATTGAAGGAAGATGAGGATTCTGAAGAGGAAGAGTGAAAAGAGCCTTCGTTACCTGCCGGATGTGAGCTCCTTCTGGTGTTAGAAGTTTTTCATAGAGCAGATCATCAGCTACTTTGTTGATATCCCTTAATCGAGGCTCATTGGTCTTCAAATCCTGAAGGACAAAATGTGTCCATTTACAATGTGAATCCTTCTCAGAAGTCTTCCACACTCACTAGGCCATTCCAATCGCTATTTGCTAAGCACAATTGAAACCTATTGCCAAAACTCACTTGCAAGCACACAGCTACTCTCCTCCGATCTGCCACTGAAAGAGTTCCCAAAGCCCTGATATCCGGAAGCCAAACTCAAAACTTACCAAGAGAACTACTATTTAAATGGAGTGTGAGGCCTATCCATTTTCTTAAAGTCATCCCTGGATTAATTCATACAACCATAGCGAACCATAACTGACCTACATGGTATTGTTTTCTATTGCTCCAAATTCCTCTACTTTTACAGAATTTCATTGGATAATTTGTTTCCCTATATTAAAGGATGTTTACGGAGCAGCTCTAGAATGCTTTCCTTCTCTGTATATATATCTGTACATATGTATATATACGTATTATATACATACACATACATATGTATATAATGTACATATATATGTATATGTACATAAATATATGGTGTATGTTCCACATGGAGAATATCATAAGCAAAGGAAAAGAAGGAAGTTTGTACTCAGTACTAAAGATGGTGAATAAATACAAGTGAAGCAGTGATGAAGGGGTTTTCAGGGGTTAGGTACTTAGAAATTGTCACTACTCTTCCCACTCCAGCTTCCATCCCACAATTCCATTCTATACAGATTTCCACTCCAGCCCACTTTGAGCCCAGGCTTTAGAAATACAGTGTGCTGTAGGTCAAGCATTGAAGAATTCTTGGAGACCAGCACTCCCAAGGAGATTTTAGAGTGTTAAAGAGTGGAAAGTTAGCATAACCACTTTTCTCTGAGCTTGCTTTTCTGTTGGGAACAACTACAACTACCCAGCAGAATTGATATTCATTACTGAGTGGAGTTCTCAGTAGCTTTGGGGAAGACACTTAAGCAGTACAACATAAATTACAGCCTTACAGCAAGAGACATGGAAACTGTGACAATCTCCAGAAAGGAGTCTGGAGAAGATTCTTTTTTCTTACCCTCTGGAACTCATCAAACTTTTTCTGCAGCTCCCAAACATCATCAAGCTCCACTCTGGTGTTTTCATCCTTTTTCTCCTGGATCCAGTCCAGCATGTCTCCTGCCTCATAGGCCAGCAAAAATTCATTGTAACGTTGTAATAGACGACGTCTGCGATCTTCTGCCCGATCCAGGAGGGAGTGGTACCTGGGTGAACAAGTTAGAAAAATAGGAAGAATGGAATACAAAATGGAGGAGAAAAACACAGAAGAATAGAGTGGGGTAAAAGAAGTAGAGGTTGAAAAGGACAGAAAGGAAAAGAAGAAAAATATCAAGATCACTAATAAAAGTGGGGAATAAAGGCAGAAAAAACCATTAAGAGCAGAGACACAGGATTAGTTTTAAATCAAGAAAAGTGAGGGAAGGGGTGAGTTGGGTGGGTGAGGAGGTTGAAAGGGTGACATTGATCAAGATTCACAGTATTCATAAACTGTTTTGTCAAATCCTTTGTATAACCCCTTAATGATAATAAAATATTTTTTTAAAAAAACTATGAAGATGTTGATGACTCCAGTATGACTGGAAGCATCCTTTATCAATTCAATAATTTTTTATTATCAAGTGAAAACCGGATATGAAATAAACACTATTTATAATGGATCTCAGGAAATGCTTTAGTAATCGTGAAGGAATGCTGACCAGGGAGGCAGAAGATGGTTTTATTAAGGGTATGACTGCAAGCAAAGACCTAATATGGTTCTAGGCTTTCTTTTTTAAAAAAAATTACTACAAAAACGTTTTTGAAGCATCCTAAGTTTGCTCAGCCCTAAAGACCTGTAAACGTTCATTAACTGAGAGACACAGAACCATGTGAAGCACCTTCAGTCAACAGGAAGTATTTGGCCAAACACTGCCCAGGTCTCAAGCCTCCAGAACTTACAGGTCCTCGATCTGCTCCTGGCGCTGGGCAATATTGCTTGGCTCTTCTAGTCGCCGCTGTGGGAGACTGCGCAGCTCATCACGGGCCAGTTTCCTGACATAGACAGCTGGGACAAAACCCTGATGATCATCAGCTTCAACTTTCCACCAGTCCTGAAAAAAAACCCAGCAAATTCTCACTCCTTCCTTGATTTCTGAAAAATTCACAAGGAATACAGGCTTCAACTCTCACAAGGAAGTCTCTACACATAGGTTGGAGGCTGAGAGTCGTTACTCTCACCCTCACGAACAGGTGGCCGATAATTTCCACCATCACAAAAACAGCCAGTGAGGAGTTGCAAGAATTGTTAAAGTAAGTCTAAGTCCCTGAAATCAAGCCATCTGGTGATTGATGTCAGACTCTCTCTCTCTCTCTCTCTCTCTGTTATTGGGTTTGAACTCAGGTCCTAGCAACTGTATCTGAGCTTTTGTGCTCAAGGTTAGCATTCTGACATTTTGGGCCACAGCTCTAGTTCTGGTTTTTAGGTGTTGATTGGAGAAAAGAGACTCACAGACATTCCTGCCCAGTCTGGCTTTGAAACATGATCCTCAGATCTCAGTCTTCTGAGTAGCTAGGATTACAGGCATGAGCCACCAGTGCCTGTTAATGTCAGAGTCCAGGTAATAAGGAGCTGTAAATCTAGCTGGCACATTCTTCTGCATGTGACAATCCTACATGCATATCTCTCCTGTCTGTTCTACTTCCAGAGATACTGAGAACTGTGAGTTGCTCTGAAACTCACTCATCTAAACACTTCTCTAAATAAATATAGTTTTTTTTTTGACTGCTGCTTTACTAACCATTCTGAAGTTAATGTTGTCAGAGACTCATTGTCATGAAATGCAGAGGCCTAGGTAAGGAAAACTGGCATTGAGTTTGTTTGATAATGAAATATCGTGCTTCTTGGAAACATTCATTACTCAGAATAACAATAGCCCAACTCTCTTCTTTTCTCATCAAGAACTTTTGGAAATTAATTAAGCATTAGAATATAAAATTTCTTGACTTCTTTATTTTTTTGTCAGTCGTGGGCCTTGAACTCTGGGCCTGGGCGCTGTCCCTCAGCTCTTCAGCTCAAGGCTAGTGCTCTACCACTTGAGCCACAGTGCCACTTCTGTTTTTCTGCATGGTTTATTGGAGATAAGAGTCTCATGGACTTTCTTACCTAGGATGGCTTTGAACCACAATCTCATCTTCCTGAGTAGCTAGGATTACAGGCATGAGCCACTGACGCTGGCTAATTTCTTGACTTCTTACAAAAGAAGTATATTAAAAAATTCCAAGCACTATTCTATCACTATTTTTTATAGGCACAAAGCATAAAAAAACTGAAGCCAATAAAACATTATTTTTGCCTATCAATATTGCCAATCTGGCTTCAAATGTCTCAGACTTCTAAATAGCTGGGACTATAGATGTGAGCCACTGCACCCTTCACAAAAAAAAAAAAAAAACACTTGTCTTTCATCTGATTCTTCCTAACCCCAAAGTTTGCTCTGCTCTGTCCCTAGGGATACTTGTACTGAAGCAGAACACTCAAACAGATAAGAAGACAGGGACAGCTGAATCCTGTGAACCTATCAGAGAACCGGAACTCATACTTTGTATTACATCTTATATTACTTAGCCTCTTTGATTCTGTATTTCCTTAGTGGTAAAATTAGTTTTGGAAAAAGATACTACTTAAAGAAGTGTGGCAGATAAAGGGTTAGAGTAATGAAACCATGGACACCTGACAGGGTCAGGAGAGATGGGTGTGGAGAAGCCACTTTGCCTGTGGAAATGAGGATGAAGGAAAAGTCACCTTGTTGATGGAGCTGAGCAGAGTTAAGATGTCATTCTTCTTCATGGTGACTTCCCGGCGGCTGCGGGCCTGGAAGTCATACAAAGCCACAACCCTCACTTCTTCCGCAGCATCCTCCACTGGTACAGCCTGCTGTTGCTGTGGGTCGGGGTAGAATATGTTTATTACAACAAACCATGTCCCTCTGGTGCCCACCAGTGGTGGGCATTCCCTGAGGTCTCTCAGCAGAGAGCAATCTCTGGCTAGCATGTCTTCTATGGCCACCAGAGGTGAAAACAGATGACCCTTCGGAGTTACCACTCTACTGTACCATGAATCAGGGGGCTGGCTTGGTGGGTAATATGAACATAAGTCAATGTAAGAATGCAGCCTGCCAGAAACAGTAAATGCTGGAAGATACCATTCTTAAACTGAGTGGAGTGATATGCTTCTCTAAGAAGGCCTAAAAAGATTATATACATCAGCATTCCAGAAAGCTGATTAACACACCGAAAGACCCATAATTTGTCATCATTAGCTCCTTCTTCCGGGCCTCTACTTATCATTTTTCATACCTGCTTGAACCTTTGTTATTATTTATTTTTTTAGTGACTACTAATTGTACAAAGGTGTTTCATTGTGATATTTCACACATGCATCTGATAAGGGAATAATAAATGGAGTATGCAAGAAGTTCAAAACGCTAACTCCAAAAGGATTAACAACCCAGTTAATGAACAGGCAAAGGAACGGAATGGGTAATTCTTGAAAGAAGACATAGAAATGACCAATATGTATAATGAAGAAATGTTCAATATCCCTGGCCATAAGAGACATGCAAATCATTATGACAGTAAGACAGCGAGAATGACATTATAAAGACTGCTTGATCTTTTATTCCTCCTGTATTTAGATTTTCTTTTTTCATCTTTAAGGTATTTCAATTCCACGTAGTTTGTAAATACAATGCACCTTGATCTGTGTCACTCTTTCTTTCCGTGGCGCCCCTCCCTTCCCCAATCTATCCCAACTTAGTCTTTAAGTCTTTCTGACAAAGATTTGTGGACCTTCTGTTTTAGAGATGGGTGACTCATAGAACAAGAAAGAGCACACAATTTTAAAAAAATGACAGCATAAGTGTATCATTAAAAGTTTCTTTTGGGGAAGAAAGTTGTTCAAGGTGGGGTTTTCTGCATTTTTTGGTAAATATTGTATTTCTGCCATGATAAGCAAAATATAACTCTTCTTCCTAAGCAATGACCCACTCGATCTTCAGATTAGATCTGATGGGCCTTGCCTTGCAGTTCCCCTGGCTCATGTCTCTCACATACCACATTTCCTCTTGACATGTATTATGTAAGTCTATCTGCTAATGACTAAGCATTCACTATGGACAGTCTGGCAAAGGCCCAGCAAGGGCTCTGTGAATGTATGTTGACTTTTCATGCTGAGTCTGAGTGTGCAAAATCCCACAAAGTCTTTCACTAAAAAAAAAAATTCTTGAATGGAAGATGAATGTTTTTTTCTTCTTCTCTTACACATAGGAAGCTCTGTGACATCATTTACTTGATTACAATTCATCACTTCCCACAATTTCATTTCACCTTGTGCCCTAGCCATTCTCATATTCTCAGTTGATTGCATTTCTCATTCCCAAACATACTTGATTGATTTGCACAGTTCATCTATTCTCATGGCTTATCAACTAGAACAGCCCTTTTCTTCTTCTCTCTGCACAAAAAATATTCATTTAAAACAATAACTCACATAAAATGGTTCATCTCAGTTAAGAAGGTTCATCTCTGTCTTCTGGTAATCTTATTTCAAGAGGACAGAATATTCCTTCCTTTTGGGACTCCTTTTTGTGTTTATACATATATAATGTAGCATTTATTCTTACTCCCCTGACAAAGTGCAATTTTCTTGTTAGTAAGAATTATTCTTATGCATACATGAATATGGCAGACATTTACTAAATGTCATATTTAAATGAAAGTTAAGTATAAAACAAACAGAATTCAGAAGGAAGATAAGAATCATAGCTACAAATAAAGAACAGAGGAAAGAAAAAAGAAAAGGGAAAGCCAAAATAGATAATGATGTACATGTGATGATATTTATTGAAAACTTATTTGAACTAAATATTTATGGATATTCTAGTAATATAGAAGATAGAACTTAGTGTTTCCTTTGCAATTGCTTCATTGGTTGTAAAAAAATTTTTAAAAAAGAAATCTATGACAAAGAGAATTCTTTTGCCACTGAATGAGGAATGTGATTTTGGTCATCACAGAGTTCTTACCTGGCAGGCTTCAGCCTGGTCCCGTAGGGCTTGCATACTGTTTCCAAATGCATTGAGATCCACTAAGAAGGCCTCGTGTTTCTTAAGAAGAGCCTGGATTCATTGATGAAAGAATCATCAGAGAAAATCTAAGAGGCACATTAACTGTACCAGGAGAGGTTTCGACTACTCATTATTTTGGCTTATGGTGATTGTCTTACATGCTGTGAAGATTTGTTTTATATTTATTACAAAGCTCGTTGAATCCTAAATTTGCAAGAGTCAAGCATACTGGATTAACAAGTGAAGAACAACTTCAATATATTTCCTGAAATAAAAATGAACTAAAATTGGCACCCATAGGTTCATCAACTTATTATAGCTGAAAGACGGTACTGCTTGCCCTCTCTCCTAACGATGAAACACTTTATCATGTCACTTTGAACAATTTTAAATGTACATGTCAATTATGCCTAGTGCCTAAGGTTTGTGAAATAGATGTGCTTTCCACAGGACAATGAAAAAAACAGGCTTGCAGGGTCATTATCATCACTGAGGATTTTCTGGCTGCAACATATTTGTCTAATTTTATTTCAATATAGAAATCAAGAGCTACTCAAAGAAGCTACTCAGGAGGCTGAGATCCAAGAATCATGGTTGGGAGCTAGCAGAGAAGACAAATACTTGGACTCTTATCTCCAAATAACCAGCAAAAAGCCAGAATGAGAGGAGGCATGGTTCAAGTAGCAGAGCACCAGCCATGAGCAAAAAAATGTCCAATGAGAGCATGAGGCTCTCACTTGTACTGAAATTAAGATTGAATTTAGGTATTTTCTACAGAATCTGTAGATTTATATGGGATTAGAAAAATTTGGCACCTCTTTTGGGACCTCTTGCTAACTGTGATGGAATTCCATACTGTCCCAACCTGAAGCTGTCTTATAATCTCAACAAACCTAAATTCATAATTGGGTGGCATTTTTAAGTATTCACTAGACAATGTTCCTCCCACCCTTCACCTTACCCCAGCTGCTTCTTCGTCAGCCCCATAGTTGGTGTTGTCGACAATAGGTTCCTTCTCTTTAATCCACGCTTCTGCTTCATGCAGGTCAGCCAGGTACTGTTGGAACTGGACATTGGCTTGAAGATCGTTGTGCCGCCTAGTAGCTCGAGTGCAGAGAGACTCCATATTCTTGTTCAAACCCTCAACCCGAGAGGCTATATCTTCTGCAGCAAAGTGTTCTGTGGATAGTTACAGTCCCAGTGAACATTAATGCCTGCCATACTCTAGTCCTTTGAGAACCTGGACTAGAGAAACAGAGGCACAAGAAAGTCGACACATTAAGTCGACACATTTGGTCGATGTGGCACTTTTCTTATGTTCCCTGGGAACATCTGAGGATGCTGAGATTAAGTAGAAAGGGTAATTAAATAGGGAATTAAAGTTTATATGTGGTGGTAAATGGGTCTATACCAGGAAACAGAATATCCTTGTGGTATTTATACTCAGAATTAGCAAAAGCATATCTCAAAAATATTGAACTAACCCAAGTCCTATACCCATCTGTCCAAGGGAAATTTCTGCATGAAATGGAAAAAAATGGGCCAGTTATAGTTGAGTCTCCAGAAGCTCCAAGATTATACAACTTTCTTCCCAGAGGTCTAGAGCAGTAATTCTGGCCAGCTCAGTCTAAATCACACATACCTTCCTCTATCATTTTGTTTCCTCTCTCTGTTATCACTTGGATGCGTGGCTCATGGCTAGAAATATCTGCCAGGATGACTTCATGTCTGTTCAGGAGATTTTTAGCTGCAACCAAGTCTTTACCTACAGAGAGAAAGAATGTCAAGGATGTGAATTAGCCTAGTGTACTAGGAATAGCTTATAAAATCTGCTTCATGAACTAGACATGGTGACGCAAGCCTGCAATCTCACCATTCTACATCCATCTCCACTTAGGAGCTCCCAGATTCAGGCAAAAGAATCATGAGTTTGAGGCCAACATGTGTAGCAAACCAAGTTTTAGGAAAGCTTGGACTGCACAGCAAGACTCCATCTCACAGATAAACTGTACCTCATTAACTTTACACAATAAAGTATGAACACTGAATTTTGTCCATCTTAGACTATCTGTTTCACCTTCCTTCACCATGTTTTACCTCTCTTCTGTCCAAACTTTCTTTCTCTGTACTTCCCATTCAAAAACCTCCCCCCAGAAAGTCTATGCTTTCCAAAAAGCCTCAGACTTTTCTCCTCTAGGAAGTTTTCCCATTGTCTAGACTCTTGTAGACACACCCAAAACATTAGCACAATGTTGTACAATACTTATATCTGTTTTTACCTGAGCTTTAATTAATTATCCTGGTATTCATTTTTGTGATCTAATGTGTTCAAAGAGTCAGACAGTCTTATGGCTAATTCACACTCTCATCTTTGTGACAGCTCTTATAGTTACAAAAAGCAGTCAACAATAACCCAACAAAAGTAATTGGTACCTCAAATATTAACTATGACTGCTCAGTTGAGAACCTTCACAGTAGCTTAAGGTTTAGAACATGTAGTAAAAAGTTGAAGACTAGATCTTCTCAAGTTTTCATGTGTCACTGAGAAGGAAGAGCTGAGAGCAATTTTCTATCCTTCCATCACTATACCCCAGGTCTCTCAAATGATCTGCAGATGTTTGTTCTTTCCTTCCTTATTGCTCATTCTTCTCAGGCTCTACTGACCAAGGTAGGTGGAAGCTGCAGAGGGCTCAGTCTCTTGGATCCAGGCCTCCTCATCTTCTGTGTCTCTGCAAATCTGCTGCAGACGGAGGAGGTCAATGAGCTTCTTCTTCCTGGTGGCCAGTGGCTCTTTCAGAGCTTCAAATCGAGACACCAAGGACTGTTGCCTTGCACGAATATCCCCAGAATCGGGATGTCCTATTTCTTCAAAATGTGCGGCCATGTCTGTGAGGGTGTCCACCTGATCCTGAGGAAGAAATAAAACATGTGTCAGAAAATCCTGTAATTTAATAGGGAGGTGAGAGCAATGGGAGAATCAGCTCCTGGATGTATAGTGTTAAGAGTTCTAAACCAGTGACAGAGACTGGGAGAGGTCATTATGTTGACAGCTCTTTTACTGAAAAGTAATTTTCAAAATACATTCAGAAAGGACAAAGAAACCCCAAGAAAATCAGACAAATCAGAGCTATAGTCCTTTCATGGTGGGTATTGATAAACTGGGGGACAAAGGGGAAAATAGGAGGCCTTTTTTACTTGTACACCTCTTCAATTCTCTCCCTCTCCCTTGGAAATGAGCTATGTTTACAAATGAAAAGAAAATCTTCTGGAAGTTAAGTTCCTAGGAAATAAAATGTGGTGTTGTGAAAACTAATGTTAGAATCCTGGAACAAAAGACACAATGGATATCCTTGGCTACACACAGCTATTTTCATTTGGAAAACGATATAAAAACAGGATGGTGAGAGATCTTCCCAGAAATAAAATTCTAGTTGCACATCTCTCTATATATATCAAAGTAGATATGAGATGAATTTCATCTTTATTAGTGAGGTCTGATAGAATTATGGTACATAGCATTTTTATTTGGTTGGTTTGTTTATTGGAAGGAGATGTATAAGAGAAGTTTTTCAAGAAACAGGACAAGGTATTGGTTTTACTGATTCTATGTTGTTATTCAGTGTTCAACTACTAGAGTGTTTGATTTTGTCTTTCCTCACTTTCGAACAAAATTGTCAATAGCTTATTAATATATATATATATATATACTTCCTTCTCTATAAAAAATTAAAGGATATACAAAAAATGGAAATTTCTTGATAACTTTTCTCATTTCTTATAACGCTTTAAACAATACTATAATAAAACAGACATCGGATATTCTTGTTAGTGAGACACTTTTCACTTCCACAACCTTGAATGTAGAGCAAGATGCTCCGGGCTGAGGGGATAGGAGACCTGACTTCTATTCTTTGCTAATGGTTGATGGCAATTGGATCTTGGAAGTTTGTTGCCCTGTTTAAGTTTCCTCATGTACATAAGGAAGACTTTGTGATAGAAAAAAACAGAAGATAATGTCCAACTTCAACATTCTATATCTAAAATTTATTCTGCAGAAGAACCAATTCCTGGTTACTATCTTCCCTGTCTTTCCAAGAAGGATTCCACCTACCTGTTTCTTAAGAATCTTAATGGGGCTGGGAAGGTGGCTCACCGGTAGAGCGCTTGCCTTGCAATGCATGAGGCCCTGGGTTCGATTCCTCAGCACCACATAAGCAAAAAGAAAAAAGCCGGAAGTGATACTGTGGCTTAAGTGGTAGAGTGCTAACCTTGAGCTGAAGAGCTGAGGGACAGCACCCAGGTCCAGAGTTCAGGCCCCACAACCGGACTCCCCCCCCAAAAAAGCTGAAGAGCTGAGGGACAGCGCCCAGGCCCAGGCCCCACAACCACACCCCCCCAAAAAAAGAATTTTAATATGCTGTTTATTCTCTTGGATTTAAATTTATTTTTGAATAAATAACAAACTTCAACAAGAATCTGCTCTGCCTTCCTTAAAATTTGATTCCATATCCACCTCCTTTTTATAGATTCAAAGCCATATTTCCCTCCCTCTAGCCTTTCATTTAATTTAAAGTGCTACTGAACATTCTTAAAACTATGAAAACAACTGAACTCTTTTTATGTCTTAGGTATATTATTTTGGCTTTCCTATATAAGTCAGAGTAACAAAATAGCAGACATTAAAGATGTGTTTTTAAGAGTAGGACCTTTCAAGGAGCAGCAGAGTCATTAAAAAAAAAAAGATTACCCCTGGAGTAAGAAATTAAGTCAGCTGGAAATGAACTTCTACTGAATACTCTCCAAACTCATAGTAACCATGCTACAAACACATAACCAGATAAAGTTATTTTAAATAGGAGTCTGGTATATGTATACCAAATCTGCTGTTTATTTTATCTGTGGAAATTCATTGTCTTTGTAAAGTCATTTTATAGCTATAGATTTTAGTTTTCTTAATTAAAACATGGGTAGAATTGACTTTGAATATTCTACTTTGTGTTTAACTTTGAATCATAGAATATCTACATACTAAAAGACAATTTTATCCCAAACAATTACTTTACAAGTAATAGTATCCAGGCAAAAGAGGTGAAATGACCTTCCATAAACCACATAAGGAGAAAGTGTCAAGGCTGTCTATAAAACCTATGGTTTCTAAATTGAGAGAACAGTATTATATTTAGAAGAGTTTAAAATGCTGTGTTTAAATTTTAATTTAAATTAAAATTAGGATTTGAACTACTGGAGCCATGTCCCCTTCATATTATTCATGTATGCTAATTTTAAAATAAAATAGCGTCATATCAAAAATGAGGTTCTGAAGAAAGGCACTCAGGAGAATTAGGATTTGAACTACTGGAGCCATGTCCCCTTCATATTATTCATGTATGCTAATTTTAAAATAAAATAGCGTCATATCAAAAATGAGGTTCTGAAGAAAGGCACTCAGGAGAATGGCAGAATTGGAGGAGGTACTGGGAAGGGATAGCCGAGTAACTAAAATTTTTGAAATATTTCCTTTGATTTTTTGCTCTCTCACGTTCTTTAATAGTAATTACTTAATATGGGTACGCTCAGAGAACAATTACAAGCTCCTACATTTGCCAGACACTTAACAACAAACCTGACGAGCATCCACGGCTGACTCAAGGAGGCCATGTTTCCTGAGTAAATTCTGAACATCAGCCAGGCCTTTCCCATAATCCTCAGAGGCAACTTGCCATTCAACCTCCTCCAGCCAATGCCTCAGGTCTTCAGCATTGTTTTCAAATTGCAGCTGCTGGTTGGCTTCATACAGCTGGGACCCTGGGAAAGACATTAGGTATAAGGTATTAATAACTATCACTGCTCCTCTTGACACTATGATAATTCTCCTTCAACTTAAGGAGATATAGAATAGTTTTATAGTACCAAGAGAAAAAAAGCAAGATAACTGTCTTGCTTATCATTATACAAAAGTCATCTTAAAATTTTAGAATTCTGATGGAATTTAGTTTTAAATATTGTAAAGGTAGCAAAATAGGGATAAATAATAGCTATATTCTTAGTGAAATATATCTCTGCCCTGACAGATTTTTAACTACCTTAGGTACTTTCATGGGTCACTTGTTATACTCTATTGAGACTTTACAAAGAGATCCAAACTGAAATGACACATTTTTCAAAGAGAAAATGACACATTTTTCAAAGAGAAACATCAAATCTGGAGTTGGTTCAGTGTGAAGTTTTGGTTTCTTTGAACTTGGCACCATCTCTCTTACTGCCCGTCCTTCTATCATAGTCCATTTCCCACAATGTTTTCTTTCAGATAGTTGATTAGTCACATTATGAGTGGGAAAATTCTTGATTCTATGATATTGAAGCAACATACTGCAATTATTTTTGTAAGGCAATTACTATGTCTCTTGATTGCCGGAAGAAGCCATGACATCCTATGCTACTATGATTTTTCTTCTCAGTAAGTAGGGCAGAGTCATGTCTATAGATGACATTCAGAAGAAATACTGAAGGTATTGCCTGTAAAGAAGTGGAAAGACTTGGAAAAAATTAAGTTAAGCAAAGTAAGTCAGGGCTGGAAAGAAAGGATACATGTTTTCCCTAGTATGTAGAAGCTAGATTTAGCTTACAAACTCCTATGTAAATACATTGGGTGATTTGCAAGTATATACAAATATATTAATGTAAATAGGCAGATTTAAGGGCAATCGCAAATAGTGTAATTCCTTGGAAAGCCAAAATCAGACTTCAGCAAACTAAAATACTCAAAAGTGGGTACTCAAAAAGGGTTAAGAAGCAGATACTCAAAAGGGATTAATTAAGAGGCGTGAGGGACGTTGGGGTTAGAGGAGGGATGGGTGAAAATGTTGAGAGAGATGACACCAATCAAGATATACTTTATTATTATATGTTTGTGGTTCTTTTCTCATTTCTTTTTCTTTCATTTTTTCTTTTGTTTATTCCCTTCTGTTACCGTTTTTTGATTTCTGTACCCTTTGTCTTGTATATAAGTCTATCTGATTTGGGGAGGGGATGGGGAAGCACAGAAATGGTGGGACAAGAGGTGAACCAATTGAGCAGTGATGCTCACTAGACGCTATGCTGGAATTATACAACTTTGGGGGGAGGGAAGTTGGGGGAGAAAAACTAGGAGAGAATGTGAGAGGGGGTGACATTGTTCAAAAGGAAATGTACTCATTACTTGACTCTTGTAATCCCACCTTTACAATAAAATTAAAAGAAAAAAAGATATATTGTATTCAAAGCAATTGCTTTGTTAGATGGCAACTCCTTTGAACAACTACTTAAAATAATAACAATATGAAGAAATAATGAAGGTACTAACTCATTATTTGTGATAAAAAATATTGGCAAATGATTAACTTTCCAAAGTAAGAGGCAAGGTAAAATATGAGTAAGACCATTCAAACATACATGTGGGGAGTTTTTAAAAAACTTATGGCAGAGAATAAATATTTTAAATCAGTTAAAAAGGGAACAGTACAGTAAAAATAAGATATTGTAGCATCACATGTGTTGCCAGTCCTCTTTTCCTGTAAATCTAATAAGGTCATTTTATGTACATTTTATCAGCACATATTAATTGTACAGTGTGAGACATTTTATTGTGAATTTTCACATATGAATGTAATGAACTTTGATCACATTCACCCCACTAATACACCTTCTTATCCTCCTCCCTCCACTCTGTTATTTTTATCTTTCTTGCAGTTTTAGATGACTGAAATTATAATTTTTCACAAAATATACTTTGCTTAATGTCAGTTTTATATATCTAAATTATAAATTATTCACATGTCACCATATTCTGTCTAGTTTATAGAGACAACATGTGCAAAACCTAATTTAAGTGCATTAGGTTTTCATACAAGTCAATAGATGATCCAGTAACATTTATTCAAGAACAGTAAAAAAGGAAAAAAATTGAAGAAAACAAAGGAAATCTTACCTAAAAATCTACATACAAGAACAAAAGATCAGTTTTTGTTAGTATAAATGGTTCTGTACTTTAGAATCCAAAATACTGACCAACAAAAAGAAGAGATGGGAAAGCAAGTGGGAAGCTTTCCTTTTTTTTTCCTTTCCAGGTGAGTTTATGATAACAACAATGGAAGTGGTAGGTTTCAGAGTTTAGGAACAATTAGCATTCCACCAAAACCTCTGTTTCTGACCTTTCTGAGCTGTGGCTTCCAGTAGCTCCTTCCAGAGGCTGGCAACCTCTCTCACACGAGCGGCCACAGCATCGGAAGCATAGTGATCACTCTCAATCATCTCCTGGCCAGTTTTCTCAAGGTTGTTGAGCATGATCTCATTAGCTGCCAGTTCCTCTTCAAAGTCTTGCTGCTTTTGAACACGACTCTTCAAGTTCTGTACGTCCTGATAAAAGATGGAAAAGTAAATCACTACTCTAAGAATGAAGGGCAGAAAAATTTGAGGATAAGAAACTACCTTCACATGAACCTAACTAAACTGAGAAGCGATTACAATTACCATTCAATACATGACAGAATGGTTCATCCAGCATTTATTTCTACTGGGCCTGGATAGCTTGAATGTGACCCACATGCAAGCACTAACAATCAGTCAGAGCTGTCATAATAGATCCAAATTATTTTTCATTCTTCTCATAGCATATAAACCATCCTCCATTTGCCCTATATAGAGAAGGTCTGTTTATTGTGTGTGGACTGGAATCATAACTCTTCTATAGAGTTCAAACTCATGTTACACAGAGTTAAAAGTACAAGTAAGACATTATAGTTCTAATAAAGAGACAAGAGAATGTATTTACTCACTGGAGAGGTAAATACTTTCAGTAGATATGAACCTAAAAAGCGAGAGAGCAATTCTACCCTTGAGTGTAAATGTGAAGGTATATAAATAGCAAACATATATAATAGTTTATATTATATAGTATTTTCGGAACAACCTTAAGGACTAGAAGTTGAAGGCTTAGAGATAGTTCTGGAGTTAAACTAAAAAAGTAGACAGCAAGAATCTAAATTAGGTTTGCCTTCTCCAAGGTTCATGCTCCTAACCTATATGGCAAACCCCATTCTAATTAACTGAATACATTTGGATGACTTCAAATTCAGGGCCTACTTTCCTCAAATATAACATTTAGAATTTCCCCTTTCCAGCAAAACTAAATTTAGCCTGTATTGTGCCAAACTCTTAGATTGCTTTTAATATTATAGATATAGTGAGATGAGGAATGCTTTTCTACTGTAAGACTGGTGACACATGTCTATAATCACAGCTACTTGGGAACCTGAAAAACAAAGATTGTGAATTAAGGTCAACTTGGGCAAGAGAATAAAGCCAGGAGCTGGTGTGGCTCACACCTGTAATCCTGGCTACTCAGAAGGATGATATCTGAGGACCATGGTTCAAAGCCAGCAGGAAAAGTCTGTGAGACTTATCTCCAAATAACCACCAGAAAACTGGAAGTGTGGCTCAAGTGGTAGAGCACTAGTCTTGAGCTGAAGAGCTGAGGGATAGTGCCCAGGCCCAGAGTTCAAGCCCATGACCACCACCACCAACAACAAAATAAAATAAAAAATAAAAGAAATAAGGATACAGACGGGGATCAAAACAGTGATAACGGGGGGGGGGGGGGGAAAGGCAGACACATATGGAGCATTCTTTTCCTTACCCTGTTTTGTTAAGGACCATTATAACTATATGTACCGGAGGAAAGAGGAGAGTGATGACTGAGTATAAGAATAGCATAATCTGGATTCCTGGTTTTTAATAAGGTCTACGTCTTTAGGGAATGATTTCCTTTTTTCAAGCTCTATATCTTCATTTTATAAGTAGGGATTACAAGCTCTCAGTTTAGCTCCAAGGCTGTAATTCTGTGAAAACAACTGATGCTAAACATTCAGGCTCTGAGAACTTTGCCTACCTTGTATTCTTCATCATCTGCCACTTTTTTCTTTTTGTTGATCCAAGTTTTTAGGTCATCTGAGTCTTGATACAGTTGTTGCAGAAGCAGTGAATCCACCAATAATTTGCGTCGAGTGGCAGCTCTGTCACGTAAGGCATCCCTCCGGGCCAACAACTGCAAAAAAATATGCATAAACTCATTGTTAGTGAGACCTAACTGGATACCTAAGGTCCACTGCCATCATGGACATCAGGCACACAATGCTTTTCCTGATCCCAGTGCACAGCAAGTGGAAGCTTGGGGACCGTGGACATACCCCGTCACGGATAGCAGCAATGTTCTCAGAATCATAATGGTCATTGTCAATAAGTTTTGTTGCAGTCTCATCCAAAGTCTAAAAGAAAATAAGAGAAAAAAATGTTTTGCCTTAGTGACCACTGAGTAAGTGGCCACAGTTTAGCTCTTTATAGATGAAACATAGACAAATGGGAAGACGAAAAGTCTGAGAGTCAGTAGGCCTAGGTCTTATTCCTGATTTCTGTAAAAATCTGTATTTAAAACATACACTTTAGGCATGCCAATTGCCTTGTCTGTGGTACAGTACTCTTCCAGTCCAGGTTACAGTAAATAAATGCAGATGAATATTTAATCAATTCTGAAATTATCTAGACAAAGCAAGCACCACATCAACAGTGAGTCCCTGTCAAAGTCTTTCTAGTTCTTTAATCTCTTTCCACCCATTTGTGTACCATATACATCTGTAGCTACATCTCTGACTCTAGTTATTTGGGAGAGAGGAGTCAGAAAGTATAGAGGTGAGTGCTTATCCATACGCATTCACAAATCTCCAAATGGCTATAGTGTAGAATTTATTCATTAGAATTGGAAAATGATCTAAAATAAATAATGACTATAAAAATTAACTGTATTACATTGTTAACTACTAGAATAAACAGAATAAGAATATGAATTAATAAATATCATAACAGGAAATATTTGGAATTTGACTATTGGATTTTTAATGCTAGTGGTAAGATGGTGTACAGTGTGTATATGTTTGCTTGTGTATATGTGTTTAAAGTAAGCACTATTTTGGGAGACAGGCAAAGACACTCCAGATATTGGGTTTATAGAGTGTTCTTTGTACCTTTAAAGTAGGTTTCATATATTGAGTAATTCTCTGAACTTAGGGTCATAGAAAAATTGTAATAATATTAGGTGAGAAACATAATGATGAAGACATAAAAAGGAGAACTATATAATAAAGGAAAAGAGTAGATATTAAAAAGTAGATATTATTTAGATCTTCTAAATATGACAACTGAAGTAACAACTATATTGAGATATAAATAGGAAAGAAAAACTTTTTAAAAATAGATTTCAAACTTTTAAGTGATGACTCTATATTGAATATGGACCAAGTAATTTTTATTAAAAAGAAGACACATCAGATATTTCATCAGAGGAAAATAATGACCTATCATTTTGAAACATTTTCAAAATTCATTTTGTACTAAATTTACTTTATATAATGAATGTGTTTATAAAAGTAAGCAGGATAAGTTTCCTGGTATGTCCTACTTTTTATCAGAAGATAAATCTTTATAATTTTTGGCTTTCATATTATCTAAATACATTATACGTCTGTAAAATCAAGCCCAGAGAATTTTTTTTTGTCGGTCATGGGGCCTGAACTCTGGGTCTGGGCACTGTCCCTCAGCTCTTCAGCTCAAGGCTAGCACTCTACCACTTGAGCCACAGTGCCACTTCTTGCTTTTTCTGCTTATGTGGTGCTGAAGAATCGAACTCATGGCTTCATGCACGCAAGGCAAGCACTCTACCACAAAGCCACTTTCCCAAGCACAAACCAAAGAATTTGAAAAAAAAATACAAGTAAATATTACCACAAACACCAATGGGATGGAACTTTAATAAGGCTAATCCTGTGTGACTGCCATAGGAGTGGTTCTATCTAGGAAAGCATCCTGGATGAAATGATAAAAGCAAGCAGGAAGAAAATGCCTGACCAAGATCCATTTCTTACTATGATCTTCTCTTCCTGGGCAGTAAAGGCTTCTTCAAAGTCATCATGCTTCTGAAGAAGGGCTTCAACACTGCCCAGTGAGTTTCCTAGATCTTCATTGTCCAGGAAGGCCTGTAGGGCAAAATAAATACATCCTGATGTCCTTATTGAAGAGAAAGCTTCTTCTTGAAATAAGGACTAATGAAAGAGGCAGAAGGTTTGGAGAGCAAGGTGGGAATTAACACAGACTAATACAATAAGCAGAAAACTTGAAGCAGTATGAGCTTTGGACTTTTCTCCCATTGGTCTTACAGAAATTTTTTACCACTATCTCTGGGTCTGTTTACATACAATTATCTCAACCAGTCTAGGCATTATTTAAGGTTTTAAAACTACCTCAAGAGGATAACTTACTTCCTCCAGGAAATCACCTCTGATACTTCCTCTTTTCTCTGTCTGACGCATCATAATTTTTCCCCCTGATTCCTTACCCACTTGATATTCTTTTGACTGTTTAATTGAGGTCAAAGTTTCTGTGCTAGCATTAAGATATACATTTTCTGGAGACCGAATTTTGCTATGTAGTTGAGGCTGACCTTGAACTTTTGATCTTCTTGCCTTAGTCTTCTGAGTGCCAGGATCATTGGTGCGCTACTACAATGGGCTTGTACTTAAATATTTTTTCATGTCTTTGCCTGTGAGGAAACTGTGGGAAGTTTGTTGAGCATGCTCTGATGTTTGTTTTTGTCATGACTCATTTTCCAGTTTCCAGACAGTCTGGTTGTGAGGGTTATTGATAAAAGCCACAGTGCTAAAGGAAAGGCAGGGGAAGTGATTTCTGAGGACTGGCTGGACCCCCTCCTGGATTACTTCTTATTGTTGTGACCAAAATACCCAGGAGAAGAATGGAAAGGAGAAAGGATTGATTTTGGCTCCTAGTTTCATCATGTTCAGTGGTTCCATGATTTTTTTGATGCAGGTGCTTAGAAAGAACATTACGGTGGCAAAGGATGTGAAAGACAAGAGTGCTCACCTCATGCTAGGCAAGAAGAATGGAAAGAGACAGGAAAAGACATTCCCAAAGGACACGTCCCCAGACCCACTTCTTCCAGCTAAAGAAAGCACCTGAAAAAATTTCCAGAGCCTCCTATATTACTGCCACCACTTTGCAACCAAGCGCCCAAACACAGCCCTTTTGGGAGGACATTTCACATTCAACCCATCACATTTCATGTTACCTCTTGTCTGCTCATCCAACTGTCCACTTGCTCACTGTCTCGAGAGAAGAGGTGAAAATCCAAGCACTGCTGGTACTGATGCTGACGCCTGTCCCACAGTTCCAGCAGAGCAGCCCAAGCATTGGCAAGGACTGTCATCTTGGGAAAGGAAGAGAGAATATATTAAACACTATTTAACTCATTAAATTTATCTATATTTTTCTGAGTAGCTAATAGATATAAATTTGGGGATGATTGAGAGATACAAAAATGCATACAAAGAAAGCATTTTTCTTACGGTTCCAACATCTAAATGAATAGCTGTAATATTAGAACAGTGGGATGAAAAACCACAAAAGAGAAGTATTCTCTACATGTATAAAAGGGAAGAAAAACATCTATTTAGATCAACAGAGCCAGAGAGCAAAAATACTGGGCTAAACAGTGTTTTAAAGCGGAATGAGTATCAGGAAATGAGTATCGGGAAAGAATAGTAAACTATGAACAAGTGATCCATTGGGACAAAATGTAACTGTTCGAAATGTACTCCAGAGAATATAGGGTCTAAAAATGGGTAGCATTCTGATGAAGTTCAAGTTTGTATAACACATAAAATGTCAGACCAAGAATTGGGTTGTAATAAAAAAAAGCCATCAGTACATGAAAAAAAACAGCCACCAAGAGAAAAAAATACATTCTTAAGTCTAGAAAAATAGTCTTTGTTTCTAAGCAAGAATCTATTCAATGAATTCCAGCTCATTTTAGCTATTGCTATTCATTGCATCAGAAAAGCAGCCTAAATTCTCAGAATTCCAGGAATAAAATTCACTTTTCAAGGACTTAGGGTTCTGCCAAAGAACACAATCGATATAGTAATGTTTCAGAGTCCTGGGCAACTCAAAAATGTGATTGTTTCAACTTCAGCCATTATACACAGCTTCAGGCTGTACTCAGAATTTAGAGAGCTAAAGAGAGGCACACAACCCAGATGCCCCTCAGTAGATGAATGGATCAAGAAAATGTGATATGTGTGTGTGTGTGTGTGTGTGTGTGTGTGTGTGTGTGTATACAATGTAATTATATGCTTCCATCAGAAAGAATGACACCACCCCATTTGTAAGGAAATAGACTTAGGAAAAATCATATTAAGTGAAGTAAGCCAGACTCAAAGACACACTGGCCCTATGGTTTCCCTTATTTGCAATAATTAGTATACGTCTAGGATAACCTTAACAGATGATCAGAATATCTCAATAGCTATGTACATATGACCATATAAGATGATGTTAAGCAAAATGAATTTCAAGACATGGACACAAAAGTTTTTTCTTTGTTGTTGTTGTTTTTAGTGTACTATGTGATTTCTTGTTTCTTATGATTTCCTCCTATGGTTTATTCCCTATTGTCACTGTATTTGATTTTGGTACCCTGGAATTGTCTATACATTTATATGAATTAGGGAAGGGAAAGGAAGCAACAGAATTGTGAGAAAAAAGACAAGGGGGAACCAATGTAACAGCGATATACACAAGACAATATGTTGGAAATGACCTGTACACCTTGGCGAGGGGGGACAGGCTGGGGGGAGGAAAAGAGGGAGAAAATTGAGAGTCGGGGTAAGAAGTTCAACAAGAAATATACTTATTACCTTACTTATGTAACTGTAACCCTTCTGTACATCACCTTGACAATAAAAAGAAAAAAAGAAAAAGAGAGAGAGGCACACTAATCCTGTCATGCCCTGATTATGCATCTGGAACAAAATCTCACTGGATCAGGAGGCTAAGGCTAGCTCCTATGACCCATGGAGTTGGAAAGATGGAAAACATGATTTCCTCATCACTGCAGCTCTGTGTTTAAATTTGAGCTTAACTTGAGGTTGCACGGAAGAGTGAAGAAGTGGCATTGGTGCCAGCCATGCACCAGGCATTGGTACGGACACAGTCGAGGTCCTGTGGCTCAAGGCACAAAACTCATTGAATTTACAATCTAGGGATGAAACAGAATATGTTAAGAAGGCAAATATATGGAGGTTAAGATTAGGTAGATGTCAGACCATTGATGAAATAAAGCTCAAGAGGCAATCACTCACTGGTGTCCTGAGAATGTCAAGTGACTCAGTTTAACACTTCTGAGCTACAGCAATGTGAAAGTCATGTCCATACTATTATCATGTTTAGGTGGCTTCTAAGTTGTTTAAATCAGAGAGTACCATAGTAATGAGGTGAAAAGAGAGCTATATTTGTAATTGAAATGTCACAAATCCCCTTAAATAAATTACCTTTTCTCTAATTTCATCAGAAGCATCGTGATTGCCGTCCAGCAATTCTTGACCAGTTGCATCAGCCGATTGAAATCGGTCGTCATAAGAGTTGATCTCATGCTGTGGCCACAAGACAAATCATCTCAAACAGAGCAGCAAACCTTCTGACTTTCTTGGCACCAAACCAAACCCCCTCTCAGGCACTGAACCAAATCTCCCTTCTATAGGAGAGGCCTTTGCTCTTTACCTTATGCTGCTGGTGCCTGGCTAATAGGGCTTCCCCACTGGCCACATCTGTTGGCAATTCATCAGCATTGATGAGTGCAGTTTTCTCATTCATCCAGCCGGAGAGCTCATCATAGTCAGACAAGAATCGATGGTACCTGTAGGACAGGTGAAGTGTAGGATAGGTGAGGCAAAGGGCAGCCAAGGGAAAAAAATAGAGATTTGAAAGGACTTGAACAACCAGTTAGGGTTGGGCTGGTCTCTGACACGTGACATGCTTCTCCTGCTAATGTTCCTCTTCTTCCTCTGATATTACAATGGGAGTAGGTGTGTGTGCATGAGTGTCCCAAGTATGACACGTTAAAGTCACACCTACTCCAGAGGCACTTGAAATAGAGGAGAAACCCCACGATGCAACCAGTAGATAAATAACAGACATCATTTCATGGCAAGAAGTACTCGAATTAAGAATTCTTTATGTACCTGAGCTTATATTTAGCTTATTAATAAAAACATGAAAATGGAAAAAAATGGTTTCCTATTAAAAAAAAATTAAGTTTATTATTTGGATTTATGCCACAAGATAAACATGGTCTTCTGGTGATGACAATACTAAGAATCAACTATTAAAATAATGCCTGATCATGACAATTTCTTGTAAGCTTTTGTTGTTGTTGTTGTTGGCTGTGGGGTTTGAACTGAGAGTCTGGGTGCTGTCCCTGAGCCTCTTTGTGCTAAGGCTAGTGCTCTACCACTTGAACCACAGAATCACTTCTAGGTTTAGGATTCCTTTCTTCCTTCCTTCCTTCCTTCCTTCCTTCCTTCCTTCCTTCCTTCCTTCCTTCCTTCCTTCCTTCCTTCCTTCCTTCCTTCCTTCCTTCCTTCCTTCCTTCCTTCCTTTCTGAGTGGTTAACTGGCAATACGAGTCTCAAAGTGCTGAAACAAGGATACAGGATGACCCATTGCAACAATATTGGAAATGAACTTTACAACTTCAAGGAGAGAAGAGGAGTTGGGGAGGGAGAGAAGGGAAGGGATAGTAAGAGAAAAACAAAGGAGAGGGTAACAATGTTCGGCAAGAAATGTACTTATTACCTTGCTCATATAACCGTAGCCCCTCTGTACAGCATCTTTACAATAAAATAAAAATTTTAAAAAAGAGTCTTATGGTGACTTTTTTGCCCTGGCTGGCTTTGAACTATGATCCTCAGATTTCAGCCTCCTGAGTAGCTAGGCGTGAGCCACCAAAGCCTGGCTTCTTGTAAGCTTTTAGCTTACAGTCTCAGGAGATGATTTTGGAGTAATGTTGAGGCCCTTCAGATGGGTAATTTAGCTCTTTAGCTAGAGCTATTCTAGCATGATGTGTCTACTTTGTAATAGCCTATAATGATGGAACGATGGAGGCATATGGATGAGTGGGGGGTAAGTGTGAGGCCATAAGAGACTTTCCTTGTTAAGGTAAAACTTCATTTGCTTCTACTGAGTAGGCAGAAGACTTGACTCCCCTCCTATTCTAGCCCCTTCACCCATTTTTTACTTTGGGGGAGGCAGGTAGAGCAATAGAGAAGAAGGATTCCCACCCATAAGAAGCCTGAAGTTTTGCATATCTGGCCGTAGCCAAGGCCCGAATGTGGTCCCAGTTGGAGATCAGCTCCTCCTTCATCTGCTGGATCTGAGGGGCATCTGCAGGGTGGGAAGTCATCAGCTTGTCTGCTTTGGCACATAACTCCTTTACCTTTGGAATAAGAAAGAAACCTAGTAGAGATCCATGCACTTTGACTCCTTGCTTAATTTAATGGTAGAGATATAATAAAACAACGATTATATGAATACAAATCGTTGACAAAATTTCACTATTTTAATATAATACTTAATACTGATGAATTAATATTGACAAATTTTCATTAATATATTAATATACTATACTTATAATTTATTGAGCATTTTGTATATCTCACTGTGCTTAGCTCTTTACATGCATTTGCTTATTTGGCATTCATCATTTAATAATCATGAGGTAGAAACTTCTTTTTTTTTAATGACAGTACTAAGGCTTGGGCTCAGGGCCTAGCACTTGCTTTAGTTTTTTCCATTCAAGGCTGGTACTCTACCACCTGATCCACAGCTCCACTTCTGGATTTTTTTTGCTAGTTAATTAGAAACAAGGGTGTCTCAGATTCATGTGCTCGAGCTGGCTTCAAACCAAGATCCTCAGGACCCAGCCTCCTGGGGAGCTAGGATTGCAGGCATGAAACACTGGTGCCCAACTTAGAAACTACTGCCAGACTTAAGTATAGATCTGTTCCTCACCACCTTGTAGTGGTTTTCCTCTGAATATTATAGTGGGAGTCAAGACGACATTTCTGCCCAAAAGATGAAGAAAATTCCAGTAACACCAAACAATTTTAAGCACCATTCCCAAAAAGCAGGATCACTTTTGCTAAAAGGCAACCCTGCGCAACTATCCACGTGTTACCATTAGTTCATGCATTATGTTCAACTATAATCAGATATTGAAAAGGGGTTGGAATTTTATTATCGATATTCATCAAGGCCTGGGATTTTATTATTCAAAAGTAAAAACAAGGAGGAAGAATTAAGGAAGTGAAATAGTGGCAGTTTGAGAAACTGGTCAGAGGGGGGCAGGGTTATCATTAGATAACAGAAAATACTCTACGTGAGCAAACTCTTGTAGACAACCAGTAATAATGGGGTTAAATTTGGGCAAGAGTTGGGAGCAGGGAGAAATAGAAGACGGGAAAAGTTCAAGGATATAGGTTTGCTCTAAGTTCTAGTATGCCTATATTTGCTCACATTTATGAAACAGAGTTTTCCAGACTTTAGAAAGAAACTTAAAGGCAAATGTAGTTTAATGGGTCTCATAGCTTATTAGAAAAGAAGAAGAAAATGCTTCCCCAGTCTACTGAGTGAAGGATAGAAAGAAACAGCATTCAACTATAACAGAAACAAAAAAAAATGTACTGAAATGAAAAACTTTGACCACAGGGTAGTTTAGAGAATTCTTCTCACAGCAATCCTTTTATTTTTAAATTATGCATTACTTAATGAGACTATGAAGCATAGAGCATGGATACATCGATAAAATAATTTTAATGAAGTAAGGACTTCCCAAAATTGGTGGACAAGTCCAAAGTGTCTAAGGACATATCATGAAGTACCACAAAACTTCCCTTCCATTGATGATTAACGCATAACTTTTCTAACTCTATGAGCAAAACCATTCCTCCCACAGTGACTTACTTTGTCCTGCATGACTGCAAGGTTCCTCTCAAGTCTCTTGTGACTGTGAAACAGTGACTCTGAGCTAACGAGATCCTTGCCATAGTCCTCTGAGGTAAGTACAGGCTCCTTCTCCTTGATCCACTGAATGGCTTCAGTCACATCCCTATCAGATAGGCATTAATATAAGCGCTAACAAAACAGTATGATAGGCCCCACAGGGCAAGCAGAACAGCAGAACACACAGCAAGGACCTGCCTAGTTCACCCACGTAGCAATTACCCTGCTTTTCCTACATGCTAGCAAAAATTAAGTTAAAAGCTTCTTCCTTAAGGGTTGTGTCCACTGGGATACTAAGGACCGCCTAACAGTTGGTCTTCCAGAGTTACTTCTCCTATCAGAACCAGCTATTCATAAATGGCATTTTCCCCACTCTTTACCTCATCAAATTCTTATTTGCCGATCTAGTCTCAGAAGAGATTCTAATACACCAGCGTGATTTTTTTTATAATTTGGCCTTCAATTTCCATATCATTGCTTTAGAGTACATCTCAATTTTCTTAACTCTCTTGCTGTCATAAAGGCAAGAAAAACCTGATGCTCATTGATTTGAAGTATTAACCACTAGTTTCTAAAAGGAGTAGACAGGGCTAATAGAAAGAACCACACCTGAGGATGCATGCCTGTAATCCCAGGTACTTTGAAGGCAGAAGCAGAAGGATCAAGGTCTGAGACTGACTCAAACAAAAGCACATGATCCATTTTGAAAAGCAACAACAGCAAAACAATAACAAAAACCAAGCTAAAGCAGAAGGACTGGGGCATGACTCAAATGGCAGTGCTTATTCAAGAACTCGAGTTCAAAGCCCAGGATTAAGAAAAAAAGAAAGATTTTTAAAAAAAAGAAAAAAAAGGAAAGATAGATGCTGTTTTTTCTGTTTATTTTTTCTTTGTATAAGAAAATCCATACCTCTTGAATCTTTGGAGGTCTGCAGCACTGGACAGTGTTTGTTGTCTTTGGAGAGCCAAGTTACAGAGACGCTCCCAAGCAATGTTGACCTCATCCTGTTTTGACTTTATCAAGGGCAGCTTAGGATGTTTTTCCTGCAAAGAAAACCAATACTTGAAGTATGCAAAGATGAAGTTAGATTAAAAAATCACTTAAACATGTAATTTCACACTGCAATACTTTGTTGGAAGTGGAGAAGACCACAGTAACTGGCTTCCTAGTTGTCATTTCATGCATATTACCAAAATATAGAAAACCCAGTCTGCCAGAGATTATATCCTGTGCCAACAGCATTGGACTTGATGCACACATGCCTGTGTGTGGTCTCACACACACACACACACACACACACACACACACACACAACACACACACACACACAGTGCCTGATAAATCACCTTGTAACTTAAAAGCAAAGGGAAAGAAATTTCCTTTTGTGAAGTACAACTTAATTTTCTTAAATGCTAGTGCTGTGGCTCTTGATACCTTTTATATTTCAAGGAAAAACATTTTCCTCTTTCCTTCCTTCCTTCCTTCCTTCCTTCCTTCCTTCCTTCCTTCCTTCCTTCCTTCCTTCCTTCCTTCCTTCCTTCCTTCCCTCCTTCCTTCCTTCCCTCCTTCCCTCCCTCCCTTTCTCTCTCTCTCTCTCTCTCTTTCTTTCTTTCTTTCTTTTTGTTTTTGTTGGTCATGAGGCTTGAACTCTGGGCCTGGGTGCTATCCCTCAGCTCTTCAGCTCAAGGCTAGTGCTCTACCACTTGAGTCACAGCACTACTTCCAGTTTTCTGGTGATTAATTGGAGATAAGAGTCTCAGGAACTTTCCTGCCCTGGCTGGCTTTGAATCAAGATCCTCAGATCTCAGCCTTCTGAGTAGCTAGGATTAAAGGCATGAGCCACTGATGCCCAGCGTCTTTTTCTATAATTATGTGTAGACCAAGCACATAGGGTTTTGTAGAAATGTTCAGGTGTTTTGCAAGCTACCTGAAGCGACGATCTTTATGAATACTTAGGTAGCAGCCTCCTATTTTGATATTTCAGGATTTTGAAGAGCTCTCATATGTACAAATCCCTTTACTCCTCACTAATCTCCCCGGTTCTTTTCATTCATATTCCCATTTCCAAGGCTCCTCACTGAATTGTCTCCAATCTCCACCCTGAATGTCTGGTCCTTTCTGTTATAGCTGTGGAGGCCCCACGCCAAAAGAGAAGCTGTATCTAATTGTAGATGCTTTTTTATTTCTATTTCTCCCTCCTCCTGCTTTGACTCCAGATCAGCATTGGACTGGGTTAGTGGTAGGTGACAGGATTAATTTTCTGTAAGTTCCAGCATCTCTGCTCCAAGAAGTCTTTCAGCTTCTGTTCTCCTCCCCTGCCTGATATACAAAGAAGCAGGCCTACTGAAGGACAAGAGAACACATGGAGACATTCCATTATCTCTGGCAATGCTCCAAACATGGGATTGATGCAACTCTAATTAAATCATCTACTAACTGCAGTCACATTAAAATACAGGAGGTACAGGAGGACAAAAGCCCAGCTGGTGCTCAAATATCTGACTCACTGAATTATAAGCAATTTTTTTGTTTTAAGTTTTATAATGGTTAGAAGTTTATAGATAAATGAGAAGCCTTCACAACAAGAAAAAATGTTGCAAAGGGGGAAAAGGTAGGAACTGTTGGAAATATGGCATGTAAAATAAATTAGAAAACAATCATTTTTCCTTTTTTAGTACCTGTTCACCCTGAATTCTTTGTTCTTCCAACACAAGGTTATTAACATTTTTCAATATACAACTGAAATCATAATAGATCTATAAATAGAAAAGCATGATCTAGGCAACCATTGGAGTTTATTATTTCATGAACATGTACAATATGTGTGCATGTAGGTATCTGCATTATGTAATACATTATATATGTCTGATTTTGCACATACACACATACACATACATATGTATCATTCCAGTTTTTTCTTACATATTATATTCTTGGGTAATTTATTATGATACCAGGTCTTTGTCTACCCATTTGTGCACTGTCTTGAGTTAATGATAGTAAATAAACCAGTTTTCCTTTTTGCAATTCTAAAAATAATCATGGAAACCATGTACAATGGATAGCATACCTATGTATATATCTATATCTTGCTATATTGTGATATCTCAGCACTACTTTATGCTAATTTGTTCTTATCTCTACATCACAAACATGAACACACAATATATTGCACGGTACAGGAGTTACTTCATTTAATCCCTCCTCCTCTTCTTCCTCCTCTCTTTCTCTCTATATCTTTGTTCTCTGTCTCCTTGCATCTCCTTTCTCCCACCCCTGCAACTTCCATTTCTCTAGACTTTAAGGAGTGGATGGATCCAGAAGGTAGAGGGTGCTGCTTATGCCTATTACTTTAAGAATATGCACTCTGTTTTCTTGCAATGCCCTATTTTTTCATAGCCCACCTACTAATTGCTAGAAGTTCTTCACGAAGCTCAGGATATTTCCCCACCTTGGCTCCACTGCCCCCACCTCACCTCAGCACACTCGTTGGCATACTGGTTCACTCTGTCCACTTTCCCTTTTCGAGCTGCCAGCTCCTCCTGGAACTCTTCAAACTTCTTATGCAGAACTTCTGTGCGCTCCCAGTCTTCACCCAGCTCTACTAGTGTCACTATAGCCTCCTGTAGACACAGAAAAGTTTTCCAAGTCACCAGTAAATATTTGCATTGGGACAACTCAAATGGAAATACTGGTGGAGCCTGGGAGAGTCCTTCTGGGAAAAGCCAGAAGCAGGTGTGTATTTCTTGAGGCGAGGACAATGCCTTTTGACACTCAGTAAGATTAGAGGAGGTGCTGACCAGAGCCTCTAGAATCATCCTTTTTATGTTCCAAAAGATGATGAGTCAATATATCCTGATTCTATTACCTTTGTGTACTGCAAATCTACAAAAAAGCATTACATAGTGCAATCACTTTAGCATATCTTCAGTCTTCAGAAAAATGTGTTTAGAAAGTTAAGGAAATATAAAACTCAACATAGTAGTAATAGGCACGGAGAGGCAAGAAATTAGAAAAAGAATGGGGAATATTTTCAGTCAAGACCCGGAATATGATCAAAAAGTAGGAGAGGGAATGAAAGAACACAGGACATAGAGGGGAGATGAACCTACATTAAATTTAAAGGCATGCTATTTCTGTGTAAATTTTTCTCTTCTTTATATTCAGAACTATAGGTTTTTGTTTGCTCCCTACCATATTAATCTCTTGAACATCCCTACATCTTTGCCCAATGTCCTATTCCTTTCGAAATGATAAGGCTTTCTTTCTTGCAGAGTAATCTGCAGAAAGTTGCTCTAGAATACCTGGCTCAGAGGGCTCAGAGGGTTCAAAGGCATGCTGTATTTAATATAGATACAGACAGAGATATAGCTAATGTATTGTATGTATATTAAGTAGTTGTACAAAGAGGTTACTACTTCACAAGTCAGGCTATGAGTACAGTCCTTCTTGGTCAATGTCACCCCTTTCTTCCTTCTCCCTCATCCCTACCCTCAAGTTATGTGGTTCAGTTTTTGCATGATGTACACTGAATGTAATGACTGTGTTTGTTGATACCTTGTCCCTGATCCACTCTAAGATGTCGTCACACTCCTGTGAGTACTGATGGAACTTCAGGGCCCGCAGCAGCACATCACTCTTCTCCTGGGTCAGCTCCAGCAGCAGGTCCCACAGTCGACGCAGTTCCTCCAGGTGGGTCTTTGTGAGAGAAGAGGCAGAACCGTTCAGGCAGAGGCTATGAAGTAGATCCAGACTCAGAGTTGTGTGCAGAAGAAAAACCCAGCTTAAAAGCTTTCCTCCTACTCAAGAAAGACATAAATGAAACAACAGAATATGCATGAAAATAGCTACCGTAAAATCTGTGAGAGGAAATCTTGTTGAAATGCTTTGGGATTTTAGAGAACAGAACAATGGCAAGCTACAAGATGAGCAAGGAGAAGGATACAAGAGTATGTATTTAAACTGAGCCGACGGAAAGAATTTCCACAGGTGGATGATAGATGGAGAATGTTTCACATACAATAAATAGTCAGAACAGTGCCCTAGAAGAAAGAGCATGAATATTTCCCAGAAAGTGTATACAGTTCTGCTAAGCTACTAGAAATAAGTGGCACTAGAATATTTTGGGACTATAGAGTTTGGGACTTTAGAGAGGATTTTGAATTCCAGATTAGCTTGGAACATCTGTGTTACACATTTTGTGAAATTTGCATTACCATCTGTATGTCATCTTCAAGAAGCTTACATTTTCAACTTCTTCTTGCTCACTGTAGCATATGAACCATATTTCCTTCTGCCTTGTCATAATGCTGTCCAATAGAGCCCTAGTGTTTCTGACATGTGAAAGATTTTTTTTTAACAATTTCTCCAATTTTTTTTTTATTAAAGTAGAGGATTAATTACACACACAAGTGAGTAATACAAAATGACTTCTATCTTATGTAAATGAACATACAGTTTTCTTGTTCTGAGTTTCTCTTTCTAAGATTCTTTTCTCGCTAATTTTTATTTTCCCTAATCTTATTTTGCTAGCAGTGAAATGAGCTAGAACTTTTATGCTACACAGAAGGACCAGTCCCAGATTTTAAATATATAGGGCAATCATGTTTTAGCAACAGATGAATTCTTCAATATACCAAAAGGAACTTGAATTGACTATCAATAGACATGTCTTGGAAGAGTATGAATGTACCGGTTAAGTAAGAAAGTAGCTAATACGATAAGAATAGGAGTTATAAATTTTCATTGAAATGATTGTGATTTTTATGATCATTGTGCTCAAGGTTGATTTTTTGAAGACAAGATAGTCTAGGGCTATCTTAAATTGAGTGTAAAGGTGAGTTTGGAAAGGTTAAATAGTGTGATGTGTGAAAGAAAGCTTTCAGAGGCAAAAGAGGAAAGGTTTCAGAGAAGATTGAAATAGGTGATCATTAATTTTTGGAAAGTTTTAAGGTAAAAGACACTGAAGTCAGAAGAAAGAATGAGGGGAAGCATTGGAAACTTCATTACCTCTGAGAAATGTGGAAGAGGTTGAAGCAACATGATCTTGAGGCACATTAATTCCCAGTGCAAAAGAGAGATGTAATCTTATCTAATGATATCTTCCACATCATAGTGCAACTCCCTCCCATCCCCCCGCCGAGTTATGGAACACAAGGATCTCCCAGTTTATTCATTTCTTCTACCTCAACACCAGCAGAACGCAAAAGACAAGAGCTCTTGTTCCAAGCCATCAACATTATATTTGGTATACTCAATTAAAATCTTATTAACATAATCAGCAATTGGAAATTTCTGACTGAGACAATACCAGTGATTTACCTTGGTGTCTTCATGGGCAAAATGATCTTCAGTAAACCGGACTTCTCTAATTTCTTCCAGTTCAGGAAGGACTTTTGATTTTGCTTGTACCTCTGCTACAAAGGTTTCATGTTTCTGATATTTTGCCTGAAATTTAGAAATGAAACAGATCCTCTAGATTATGGTGTGGTCTTCTTATTCCTTCTCTTAATGCTAGGCAAAATAGCTTGCTTCCTAACCTGATTTAACTGATAACCTCTGAGCATAAATGGAACAGTTGTGTCTTCAAAGAAATGGTCACTAAAGGTAGAGTTACTAACCATAGATATGAAGGAGTCCTAGGAGGAGGCCAAAGAGAAAAAGACAGGAAGTCTTGTCTCCATGATCTTTGGGAAATTATCAGTAAATACCCTATTGGTTCTGCAGGCTCCCCTAAGAATAAACATATGTAACACTTAGTGTTCTTCAGAAAAGACCAAAAGAGCTGGGCTCTATTCAAAACAGATCCCTAACTGATGATAGTTCTCATAACAACTTTTACCACGTGTAAATGGATCCATTGCATAAGTCAGTTTGATCTTGTTCCAGGAGCTCCCTGCTCAAAATCAGCATGTGAGCTCTCTCCTTCCTGGTGGCCACGTCTATGTCAGATGCTATAATACTTAGTTACCTGATAGCTCTAAAAGTTTCTACCAAACCTCTGGGACTAGGGGAACATCATGTCTGCTCTGTGTGATTGCTTGCCAGAGTTTTGGATAGGGCACTTTTCTGCAGAAGTAAATTTGGCCTTGTTGAGAAAAAAAAAGGAAAGCAAAGCAAAACAAAACAAAACTTCTGGACCAAGAGCCATGAGTAGAAATTTAGAGAGATCTAGAAAACCTTTTGGTTGTGTAGACAGTAGGAAGTATACGTCAGAAACACTGAAGATTCTTGACTTCCATAATTCCAAACTTACTATAATAAAACATTGAAAGCAATTGGTATGTAAGAGATTTCTTGAATGATTCAGTCACTGTTCTGTTTGGAATGAGTTTTCTTTGCAAGTAAGATCTTAGAAGTTAAAGACATGGAGGTAGCATTATTGTTTTTAACTGATAAGCTGTTCCCTATATTACATCATTATCTTACCATTAACTCACTGTACCTTTACATGATAAGAATGTGAATTTTGAGTGTAAGTGCATTATAAGAAACAGTTCTGAGCTTTCAACAACTGATGGACTCCAGTTTTTCTTTCCTTAGTCTCCTCCCTTTGACATTTTAGGAGATGAGTAGAACTGGAAGAACTTGGCATGTGCATGCTCATGTTCTGATCTATTTCTTTCAATTTAATTCTTAAACCTCCCACCTCACTGCCTCAACTTTGCTTCATTTGTTTCTAAATAATATCATATTTTACTCACATCCATCTTTCAACTTTAACATGAAGCAAACAAAACCTCCTGCTTCCCACCCTAGAGTTCTTCCGATTTACTCTAAAGAAGTGTGTGGAAAGGTGACCTGTATATTTGTTGGCTCATAGCTCTTATCCTTTGCAATCTCGAGTTTCTCCATGATCCACTTTTCCAGGTCATCTGCATCTCGCATGAAAACTTGGTAGTGATAGGACTCTTCAAGTTTCTGACCCCTCTCAGCAACACGTTGCTTGAACCTCTGGTACCGATTCAACACCTCTTCACGCCTCTGCTGGATTTCTTCTGCTGTTTCCAAAACTTTTGGCCCACTGCTTTCTGCAGCCTGCAAGTTAAAAAGTTTCTATGTGTTTGGAAGTATCACATAGTGCCTCATATATATGTAAAATTGTTATGTGTCAAGTGAAAATTTATAAAGAAAAAAAGAAAGAAAGGAAGCTTTTATTTATGGCTACTTCTCAAGTCTTTTGTTCACTGCACTCTTATGTATCCCAAAGCATTTACTCATCATGAGAAATCTATGCCAAGATTTATGTAAGCCTATAAAAGCCTATTGTTAGAAGCCCTAAGTGAATTTGCATAACTTTAACTGTGTGAGGTAATAACTCTTATCATGTATACTGCTCACACAGATGTGTGCCAATATTTAGTGTTTATTCTGTTGATATAGTGAAGTTGGACTGGTGACAAAGCTAACCACAGAATTTCAAATAGATTAAAATAATGTATCAAGGTTATTATATCCAATTAACTAGTAAAAATCCAGAAGCAGAGGTGTGGCTCTAATAATAGAGCAACAACTTAGAGTTATAAAGCCAAGTGAGAGCTCAAGGATCTGAGTTCAAGCACCAGTATCAGTACAAAAAAAGTAATTTTATTGACTCCCAATCCATTGTTTTGCCTTTTTAGTGCTTAAAAAGGCACTGACCAGTGCTGATTATTCTGAACTTAGTTTAATAACTAGAATTAATTTAATGAATTATATTATATAAAAACAATTTTGCTTTCTGTATATTTAAAAATGTAGTCCATATGTCATGTAGCTCATGTAGAATGTAGCTCATTGGTTGCTGATTTATATACTATTTTTATTTGGTTTCTTTCAAAAAACACTGCAAATCTGAATTCAGCATGTCTTCCACCTACTTACTATAAGCTTCAAATTGTTTATTTTTCAATAATTGGTATTTAGAATATTACACCTAGTTTTTATGTTGGATAACATGAAAGAATTCTCTTCTTTAGTAGCATTCAGGCTATATGTGACAAGATCAGCAAAATATCCATTGGGTCTACTTCATGCATGAGAACATTGGTGCTGTTTTCTAGGCTTGTTGTATCCAGAACATTCAACAGAGAGTTTAAATTTCAGTTTTTCTATTTTTTTCCTAAACATAATTGCTTCCCTGTGGATGGCAATAACCACTATGGCTATAAAGTTAAATCATTCCAGGGAGACTGAAATCTCATTGATGTATCATTTTGCCTCAAGTTATCAAGTTTCTCTCTATGTAAGCTGACTGAATCTTGGTGGCTGTAGAGATATATAAATCCTAAGTTATTGTTTGAAGTGAAACATTCAGAAAAAGATAGTTAAAATTAAAACTCACTGCTGTTTAAAAGTCAAAGAAGAGGGCTGGGAAGGTGACTCAGTGGTAGAGCACTTGCCTTGCATGCATGAGGCCCTGGGTTTGATTCCTCAGCACCACATAAGCAAAAAGAAAAACCTGGAAGTGGTGCTGTGGCTCAAGTGGTAGAGTGCTAACCTTGAGCTAAAGAGCTGAGGGACAGTGCCCACGCTCAGAGTTCAGGCCCCACGATCAGACCCAAAAATAAAAAAAAAAAAAAATTTAAAAAAAGTCAAAGAAGCACAATTCTAATGAGTCTGTTAACGATAATACAGGATGCTCAAAGGGGACAGCTTTCCTAGTATACTTAAGGATGAACTGCATTGAAGACAATTGAATTCTGTACTCACGGTTTCCTTGGCAAGGTGCTCCATCTTTCCTAATGGTCTGGAATTTGGGAAGAGAAAAATATATCTAGGGAAAAGACAGAAAGATGTCTAGTCTAATTCAACAGAGATGCCAGAAATGTGAATGTAGTAAAGAAAAAAAAAGTCTCAATAATCCGCCAACCACACACATTCCACATTATCTATAGAAGGCATACCCAGCTATTCAGCTGAGGCAGAGGCTGACTTTGACAGACAAGGTGACTCAGCAGCTTGGATGGGGAAATGAAGGCTTTCAGTTTCTCAGCAGGATTTCCAAAAACTAAATGAAAGCAAAATTTGCAGATAAAAGAGTAGGAATAAAAACCAGCTATAGACATGTTAAGAGTGTGTTTTAGTTTTTTGAGGAGTTTTAGATTTTGTGATGTCTGAGGGCTAACAAATAAAGGAAGAATCTTGTATTCCTCATGTTTCTGCCTCTTTGTAACACAAAAGTAGAAGAACTTGGCACATAAAGATTCTTGCTACATCTGTTTCTAGAAAAGATAACTCAATATCTTTCTCAATACCCAAATGTGGGTATTTAAGATCCTCTAATGAATTATACCAACTATTGCTGCAGAGGTTTTCCTAAAATATTTTATTTATGGTCTAATATATGAGGTTTCAAAAATATGATACAGATGTACCCGTAAGCATTTAAACAGAAGGAACAAAAATGGGAAGGTATGAATGTGTATTTCATTTGACCACCTGTTTAATAGCATCTCAGAACATATAAAAATAAGACTAATATCTAATATGTAGGAAAAAGGAGGCATGATATTTTACAATCTATTTTTATTTTTTTATTTTTTGGTCCAGTCGTGGGGCCTGAACTCTGGGCCTGGGCGTTGTCCCTCAGCTCTTCAGCTCAAGGCTAGCACTCTACCACTTGAGCCACAGTGCCACTTCCGGCTTTTTTCTTTTTGCTTATGTGGTGCTGAGGAATCAAACCCAGGGCCTCAGGCATGCAAGGCATGCCTACAATCTATTTTTAATGGAGGAAAATCAGGTACAAATACTTTTCATAATTCTTTGATGCTGCCTTACTAAAGTGAAACCCCCAAAATAAGAAAACAGTTGAAAAGTTTTATACCCTTCTTCAAAGCAGAGGAATATCCACACCCAGCTTCATTCTCTTTGCTTTTCTTGGTTATACTTTTTTGTTCCTGTATCCCAGAGGCCATTTCTAAGACCAATGTCATGAAACTTGTGCTGTATTTCCATTTGGCAGTTCTATACATCTCTTACATTTAAGCCTTTATTCTGATTAGAGTTGATGTTTGAGTCCAATTTCAGTGTTTTGGGTTGATATACAATTTTCCCCCAAACTATGTGTTGAAGAGACCATTTTATTTCATGATAATCAGTCCTTCTGGCTGGCTAATTACATACACACACATATACAGCACACACACACACACACACACACACACACACACATATACATATACATATACATACACACATGTGTGTGTGATCACCATGTTTGCTACTTTTGATTGTTGTATGATGAGAAAACAGAGAAGCCATATTTTGAGAGGTCAAATCAGAAGTGTTTATTAGAACACTAGCAGTCTACAGATAGACTCCTGTCCCAAAGATCTGCAGCCTAGAACAGAGCTAGCACACAGCTTTTAAAGACAAAAACCATGTGCTTAGGGTAGAGACAAAGCCTTAACAGCCTTAATGAAAGTGTTATAAATAAAACAAAGCAAGCTAGATGAGGATAGTTATTTCTAATAAAAGTATCATACACAGGCAGAGAAGACTGTCCAGGGGAACGATAGAGGGCAATAAGGACCCCAATTTCCTAGGGGGAGCATGAGTTTCCTGGAGCTCAAAACTCAGACACATCTGCAAACCAAAGAATGTCCTCTTACCTCTGGAGTTCTCAGAAAGTTCTCATCGTCTATTTACTTCTATTAAGATGCCAAGATGGGCATTACTTAGCTCCAGTATCCTTATTTCATTATGACATGATCCTGGACTATAGGGAACTGAAGTGAAAATATTAGTACACCAGGAAAAGATTACTTAAAATCAAAGAGAATCAGAATGGCACAATGATTATATTGACTTGGGGTTGACTCATAATTGAATATCTAAAAGCTATTAAGTATAGGAGGAGACTATTTCAGGCCATATTTTCATATAAAATGGAAACTACATCTTACAGAATCTGGTAAAAATTATGAATGAATGCAAATTAATCTTGTGGAAGGTATTCAAAAAAGTTGGTTCTTGTCTCTTGGGTGAAGATATTTCCCCTCCTCAGCTTAGTTCTAGGCAGAGAATATATACAATTGGCATACTTGCCAAACATATATTCACTTTTAGTGCCAAATTTTATTAGATATAATGGATGTATATAAAACTCCTGGAGGAAGACATGGGGGAAGCTCATGAAATGGATTTTAGCAATGATTTCTACAATATGGAAACAAAAGCAAAAATCAACAAACAATACTGGATCAAACCACAAAGCTTCTGCCTTGTAAAGGAAGCAATCAACTAAATGTAAGGGCAACCTATACAACAGAATAAAATGAACTTGCTTATATTTGAGAACGGGTTAATATACAAAGCATATCATGAATTTCCTTAGCTCAATAAATAGAAAAATAATGACAAAAATTCAATGAAAAATAGACAGAGAATTAGTGATAGAGGACTGCTCTAGCATGCACACAGCCCTGTTGCAATGCCTGCACTGAAAATAGAAGTGAGCATGAGGCTTAAATTGATGTTTCTCTAGAGAAGACGTAGTTGTGTCCAACAGGTATATGAATAAGTGATCAACATCACTAATTAGGGGAGATAGAGAGACAGAAACAGAGACAAAGGGACAGAGAGACAGCGATTGTCTTTCTCTGATATAGAAATAGCCAAAATAACCATTAGTAGATGAATAGACAAGAAATTTGATATATAAAGGCAATAAAATATTATTTAGTGTTTACAGTGAAGGAAGTCATGACATCTAAGACAATAGTATAAACCTTGGGGAACTTATACTAAGTAAAATAACCTACTCACAGAAGGCTATGCAAACCACTAACATAAAGCATATAAAAATAATTGAGTCATAGAAGTGGAGAGCAGAAGGGGACTAGTAGAAAGGGTACAGAGTTTCAGTTATGCAAATGATTAAGTTCTTGAGATACATTATATATCTTTATGCCGTTATACAATGTTGCATTAATGATGATAATACAGCAGGTATGTTTAAACTATTTTTTAATGTAGAGTTCAGGTTAAGTGTGCCTACTATATTTTAAAAATAAGATAAGAATCATCTTTGGAGCAAGAAAGTGATGCTAAAGCAAGGAGAGAATCAGGGAAGAGGCTTGATAAAATAAAACAGATGAATTTAAAAAGTTCTTTTTCAGTCATTGTAGCCATGAGAGATTCATTATAAGGGTTACTCAGACAGCTCTTTAGCTATTATTCCGGAAGTTGCTAACTTTAAATGTAGTCCTACCTCGTATTTCTATTCTTTTGAAACAGACATACAAGTCTTCAAAATCTAAATATTCTTTATCCTTAATGGTATGAGTGTCAAAGCATGTCCTTGGGATAGCTTGAAAGACAGGATGAGAGCAATCTTTTCCTTGATGGCTTAACAACCTCAACCTCTGACTCTCTTAGTACTTCTGTTGTTTCTCAAGAAATCCCATTGGTCCTGAGCACATGAAGAGCCTGATTAGAAAAGACTCAGATAAAGAATGCAAGGCATTCTACTTTTTGATTAGAGATTTGCATTTGAGAAGTGTGTACATTGTTTTTGTTTGTTTGTTTGCTTTTGTGTTTTGTTGTCTTTGAGCTCTTTTTGCTCAAGGCTAGTGCTCTACCACTTTGAGCCACAGCTCCACTTCTGGATTTCTTGAGTGGTTAATTGGAGATAAGAGTCTCACAGGAACTTTTCTGTCAGGGCTGGCTTTCAACTGCAATCCTCAGATCTCAGCCTCCTGAGTAGCTAGGATTACACATACGTGAGCTGCCAGCACCTGGGTAAGTGTGTACATTTTTAAATAAAGTTAAGAGGCAAAGGACTTTAGAGGATCTGAGGTATGAATTCATTTCAGTTGACTGAAAAAAGACCTTTAGATTTAAAAGTAGTGTTATGTACTGTTCTGACTCATGTTGGGGGTCAACAATTGGACAATTTTAATATAAGAACTCTTTTTTAAAGAGAAGCATTTTATACACTTTGACAAAGGTAGGGTAATATGAAGGGCTGTCTTACTTGTCCATGGTTATCAGTTCTGGGCAAGTAAAGTAATCAGCACTGAGCAGCTTGTATCAGCCCTGCTCAGGCCTCAGATCTGGTTGATCTTCTCCTTCTGGGCTCAGAGGCTCCAAGATCTATTTAGACAAAAATATAAACCTTATTTATTGTGTTTTATTTGGAGTCTGACTTTCTCTGCTCATTTACCAACTAAGATGAATTAATTTTCATGTAATGCTATTTTTTCTCATGGAATATATGTCATCGGTAATTTGTTGTTTTTACTTACCTTTTAATTATTTATTTACTTGCTTATTTATTTTTATGTCAGAGTTTAAGCCAAATCAGCCGTGAAGTTTCTGTGTAGCCTCAGTTGGCCTCAAAAATGATTCTCCTGCTTCAGCCTCTAGAGTTTTGTATAGTCATAAGTAGCACCTCCACTATCAGCTAGGAGTTTGAAATTTTATATTTTATTTCTCTGATTATTGACTAGTAAATGGGTCATGATAGTAGATACACTATGTAAAAAAAATGAAAGTATTTTTGTAGTTATCTAATTTAATTCTCAGGACTTCAAGTCCTTTGAGTTTATTTGCACCTTAAGTCTAGCTGAAATTTTAGTGTGTGTGTGTGTGTGTGTGTGTGTGTGTGTGTGTGTGTGTGTGTGTGTGTGTGTGTATGTGTGTGTGCTGGTCCTAGAGCTTGAACCTAGGGCTTCCCTGAGCTTTTCGTGCTCAAGACTAGTGTCCTACCAGTTGAACTACAGCTTTACTTCTAACTTTTTGGAAATTCATTGACAATAAGAGTCTTATGGACTTTCTTGCCTGGGCTGGCTTTGAACCAATATCCTCAGGTCTCAGCCTCCTGAGTAGCTAGGATTACAGATATAAGCCACTAATACTTGGCTGTGGTTGAAATTTTATAATATTTCAGTTTGCAATTCCTACCTTCACTCTCTTTTTCTCTCCTTTTTAACTTTATTTTTTCTGCTTATTTATTTCATTTCATTTCTTTAAGAAAACAGACAAATCTTGATGTTTCCCCTGCCTTTCACTGTTGAATGACAAAATAGTTGGACTTATTTTCCCCTTATAGAACTTTAGGAGATAAAGTTTACCCCTAATTATCCATTAACTTTTTCAGTAAACTATTGCCAAATACACATCCATCAGAAACTGGGGATATTGTGATAAACAAAATAATACTTACTTCAAAGTAGCCCAACAAAATTAAAGAGGCACAGAACTCATGTGAATAGAAGAGAATTAAAATCATGTGAATTAGTGGCCTAAATAATATATTATAGAAATGCTGAGAAGTAGGCTTATTTCTATTTTGATAGTTCAGAGAAGATATCAAAGCAGAATTGAATTTTAGGTTCCTCCTTTTGGGATTAAAATAATAAATGAAATGGCTATGTCAGATTGCCATTTTGCTCTTAGTTTATCCAAGAGGTAGAACCATGAGAATGAATTTTTGTTATGTAAGCCACCTAGTTTGTGATATTTTGCTATAGCAGTCTGAAAAGATGAATACATCCCTACAAATGATTCTACTTGGATTAATTTTCCCTCCTGTGTATTCTCTTAGCAATTAAGTTTTCATTTTTTTATATCATGTCCTATCCAGGTAGAGAAAAAAGACTCAGGTAGCCAACTGCTGCAGATATATAGGAAGATGAGCAAGCTGGATTTGTAACCATTGCAGATTTTACCTGATTTCTGAAAATGGAGAAAGAAGTGTCCATTTTTTTTGCCTGGAGAGGAGTTTGGTTAGTTGAATTCTTTTTGGTGGGCATATCCTATGTGAAGTGAGCAAATAATGTACAAAAAGAAAAATGTATAATTTGAGTACTTGTTCTCCAATAGTTTGGGGATGAGGTAGAACATAAATCAACACAAAAATGAGACAAACACTTTATCACAGTTTAAAGGAATCATCATTCTTCTGGTTATTTAAGCCCAGGTTCCTTACAGCCAATCTTGTTTCTTCTCTCTCAGACCCTAAATCCAACCTGTAAACACATTCTCTTGGCTATATCTTTAAAAGTTACCCAGAATCCAATTACTTCTTATCACATTCATGTTGCCACCTTAGTCCAAGTCATCAATCCTTAATTGGGTTTTTGAAGTGCGTTTAAATCTTGTCTTCTTTTTCTCTCTTTAGACTCGTTTGGTCTATCACCAGTATAACAGTGAAAAAGATCCTATTACAAAGCAAATTAGATGATATCACGTGTACTGTAAACCTTCCAATTGCTTCACATTTTACTCCAAGTGAAATCCAGAAGTTGTTACAATGGTCTTTTAGTTCGCATGTGATCTGGCCCGCACTGATTTTTCTTACTCCCTATCCCATTTCACCATAGTCACCCATCATTCTGTCTTTATGCCACATGGAGTGATCCTAATTCAGAGCCTTTGAATTATTTCTCCCTAAACCATACTTCCTTGAAATACCTGCACTTCTTTTCCTACACTTGTGTTAGTCATTGCCTATCTATTACCTTCTAAGGAAGAACATTTTTTAAACTAGATTTTTACTGTTATTATAAAGGTGATGTACAGCGGTGTCACTGTTTAATAAGTATACTTCTTTTTGGACAATGTGACCCCTTCCTTCACTTTCTCCCAGTTTTTCCCTTCCATCCTTGCCCACAAGTTATACAGCTCATTTTATACAGTGTCTGGTAAGTATGCTACTCTATCCTTCAACCCTCTATTTCTTGGCCACAGCTTACTATTTTTAACTTCTTAGGTGACCCCAGAGCTATTCTCATTCAAGATAGGAAGGGATACAACTCTTCAGTACATCAGTGAGAAACCAGTGGTAGGTGTCATATGGGACTTGTGGTTGATAGAACTACAAGCTGTGCTATGGTTGGTACAAATATAACACTTCATTTTCTAATCAACCATGTCACACAGAGGAGTGGTGAAATTAGGCTGACAGCCAGAAGATTTGTGTTGGAGGATGAGGAAGGTTTTTTTTTTTTAAAAATCTATCAACATTTGCATAATAATAAGCTTTATCCTATCCCAACTGAGGTATGAGGTCTGGAGAAAAAAAATCTCTTTATGAAGCCAATGTAAAAAAAGTCAACCAAGGGAAGAATCCTCAACCTGGTAAGATAATGAGAAGTCCAGAATCCTGAAAGGAGAAGAGAACTTTAAAACCCAATTGACTTTCAACAGAGTTGACCAATTGACTTAACAATCAAACTTTAGCATGGTGATACTGTTTGTTAAGTTCACAAATTCTTATCAGATTTATTATGTAATATATACAATTCATGTGATCACAATGAAGAAGAAGTGTTTCTCTTATGAACAAAGTTCAATTATGAGAACATAAGTTAGATTACATATTGATCAATACTTGAATATTCAATATAAAAATGAGGAATATTCTTCAACTATGTACCTTGGTGATAACATGGGGTCAACTTAGTGTTCTGAAGTTGATTTTCATTTGCCATCTCTCACACAAATTATTTTTCTTTGTTGTTTCTCTTTTGCTGTTTTTGTTGTTGTTTTATTGTTCTTGTGTGGTTGGGTTGGTTTTTATTTTTGAAGTGCTAGAGCTTGATCTTAATGCCATGGCCATGCTAAATCAGCACTCCACGAACTGAGCCATGTTTTGTGTCAATTTAAGTGTTTACCCAGATCATTTCAACAAAATGAAATCATTTGAGTCTTTTGAAATCAAATCATTTGAGTCACATCAACTTTAACACAGATCCCAAAATGTGTTGAACTGAATAAAAGTGAAAAACAAGCTACCAAATTCAGGTATGAGTGAAATTTCAGTAACAGACAGGAGGGAAAAGACAGATTTTTGAGAGCTGAGAATTTACTTGATGTCCCTGGTCTTAGGAAAAAAAACTCTTAGCTTGACCTATGTGTTTTTTTATAGCTGCTTTTATCTCTTTATTTCTCAGACTATAGATAATGGGATTGAAGAAGGGAGACAAAACTGCAAAGGCCAGGGCAATAGCTGTATCCCAGAACAAAGAATAGGTGGCAGAGAAGCGTAGGTACATGAGGGCCACACTGCCAAAGAACAACAAAAAGACGGTGAGGTGGGACACACATGTGGAAAAGGCTTTGCGGCGGCCTTCAGCTGAACGAATACGTAGAATCACAGCCACAATGCCAACGTAGGACATGAAAATGAGCATCACTGCTGTAATAATTTCCACAGCATGGACAATATCCACTACCTGGATCATGATGATGGTATGTGTGTCTGTGCAGGCCAGGCGCAGCACTGGGAGGAAGTCACAGAAGATATGCTCCAGGTGATTGGAGCCGCAGAATGGCAGTGTGGCGATCCAGGCAATCTCAGGGAGGGGTGTGATAAAGCCACAAATGCAGCAACCTAAAGTCAGTTGGACACATAGCTTAGGGGTCATGATAGTAGGGTAATGAAGAGGGCTGCAGATGGCTAGATAGCGGTCAAAGGCCATAGCTGTCAAGAGACAAACTTCACTGATGCCTGTGGAATGGAAGAAATACATCTGCAGGAGACAACCGTTTAAGGAAATGCTTCGTCTTTTACTAAGCAGGCTAGCGAGCATGGCTGGGATGGTGGCTGTGGTGTACCAAATCTCCAGGAACGAAAGGGCACTGATAAACAAGTACATGGGCGTGTAGAGGTGAGAATTCAGCTGGACCACAGTGATGATAACAAGGTTTCCAACAATAATGAAAGAATAGATGAAGAGCAGCAGAATGAAGCAGATGACAGAATTTCCCCAGGAATCAGGGAAAGCTGAGAAGATGAACTCTTGAGCAGTAGTCCGATTGCAGTTCTCCATCTCCAAATGGGAAGTGAGGTTTTCTAGAAAGCATCTACTCTAGGTCTGAGAGGAATTACACTTACCAAAAGGCAGCCTTTTGTTAGACCCCTGAACTGGGGATGTAGAAGAAGAGAAATGAGAAATGAGATTTTCTGTATCCCATGTTGATGTAGAACTAAAGTCTGGTATGGGGGAGAATGCAGTCAGAAAATACAACTAATGTTTTGAACCAGTGATTCTCAAACAGGAGCATGAGTCAGAATCAGTAAGCGTGTTTGTTAAAATTGCTGAGATTTTCAAACTCAACATGTCTGAGAATATTTTAATGCTATTTTATCTTTTTTAAATGGAACATTCTACCTTCTTTTAGACTTTACCCACTTTCAAGGTAGAGTAATTTCAAAAGTACTTTCTACTAGAAACACTTGATCAAATGAAATAATTTATGGAAGAAATATGTTAAGCTATAACTGATGGGCTACACTAGTAGAATCATATGGCATGGCTTAGTGGGAGTTTAGAGATAGAGACTTTAACTGAGTACAATATAAATATCACATATAGCACTGTCCTATTCATTTATGCCCATTTCACAATTATTTGTTTCATTTTATTATCTTCTGCCACCAACTATATTTATATCTTATTTTGGAGAAAAACACATCTTTTTAGCATCTTTTTCTAATGCATAACACATATGAACTTTCTTAATTTCACCCTGAATTTCTTTAAATAAATTACTTACCCTCAACTTTCATTATTGCTTCCCCAAGCCTCAAAATTCTCTCTATCATTTCCTTTTCCATTTTCTACCTTCCAGCTATGAAGATAACTCAAATTCTGTTTTCATTTTTTGCTTCTCTTTCTATAGTTCCTTCTACACACAGAAGACTTGTTCATTTCAATATTACATTTATTCAAAACCATCCACTTCTATTGGCCTTTTATTAATCTGAGTTAATGTGACTCTAGAATTCCTTATTTTAGATCTCTTCCTTGAGTCTCACATTTTCTTCAGGACTCTCATACTTACAAGCTACATTTTGACCTAAACTTCCTATTATGACCTGACTAGAATCTTTGAAAAGATAATTCAGTTGAAATAGGGCATTAAGGTAAGCCCTACTTGTTCAGTATGACTGGTGTTCTTCTGAGAAGAGATTGGGATGCAACCAGCTTCAGAAGTAAGGCCATAGGGGCACACAGGAAGAAGATATAAGTCAGGGAGAAAGGCCCCAGGAGAAAACACCCAATCAAAACATTTATTTCAGGCTTCTAGTCCCCAGGATAATGAGGGCATAAATTTTGGTTGTTTAAGATACACAGTCTGAAGTACCATGTTATGTACCTTCTGCACTCAATGAGTTTACTGCCTTTCTGATTTTTATTCACTTATAAACTAATTTCCTCCTTTTTATGTCTACTGCCTCCTCAGTTTCAAACCAAATGCATCATCCAGGTTGTTTGAACTTAATTTTCTTGCTACATCAACAATATATTTTATCTACACTCTTTATCCTAATTGGATCTCTAGTCATAACACTAGTAGGGTGTTAATGCAAGCCCAAAAGTCTCTGCTTGAAAATCATTGTCTCTACACAAGCCTCCACTGCCTGCCTTAAGGTCAATCTTACAAATGCATCAGTTTTCTCCTTTGAGCCCCTTCCACAATTGTTTTTTTAATATATATTTTTCTTCGTAAAGATACTATACAGAGGGGTTACAGTTACATGAGCAAGGTAATGAGTCCATTTCCTATTGAGCATTGTTACACCCTCCTTTATATTTATATTTCCCCACCATCTCTTTCCTCCCCACTTCCCCAACTCCTCCCTCTCATCTACCCTCTCTCCCCCTCCCCCCACAAAGTTGTAAAGTTCATTTTCAACATACTGTCTTATACATCTCATTGTTACAATGGGTCTCCTGTAACCTTATTTCAGCATTTTGTTACTTCCCTTCCCCTTCCTAAATTAGAAAAAATGTATATACAAGATGCAGGGCACCAGAATCAAACACACTGACAACAGGGGTTGTACCATGGGGGAAGAACATACAAAAAAAACCAAAATATCACAAAATTTTACTTTCTTACCATTATCTTATTGCAGACTTAGAACACTCTCTCTCTCTCTCTCTCTCTCTCTCTCTCTCTCTCTCAAATTCTCTACTAACATTCTTTGCTTAACAATGTAGCCTTTTATTTATTTACAATCATCATCTTATTTTTTATGTGCTATAAAAGGATTTTGCTTGTTTATTTATATTTAGCTATGTGAACTTAGGGCCATATTTACTCATTTTTATGTCTGTTATCTTCTCAGTTTCCAAACCAAATGTATCATTTTTTCTTTATTTTTTCTTGCCAAATCAGTTTCTATTTCCACTATCTTCTTTATTTGTTAATTGACTATGTGATCAAGTCCCCATTACACTCTTTACTTACAAGCCATAGTAAGCAACATCTTTTAATATTATACTGGTTTTATTTGGCTACATTTTGTAGAAAACAAAGCCATCTCCGGTTGCTATGACAACATGCTACTTACCCATCCAGTTAAACAGAAGTGTTATTATTCCATGCCTGTAACTTACTTACTCTTTATTTCCCTTCCAAATTCTGCTTCCTAGTTCCTAAACAAGAACTATACATTTTTTTTAATTGTGAAAATACCGTACAGAGGGGTTACAATTACATGAGCAAGATATTGAGCACATTTCTTATCAAGCATTGTTGCCTCCTCCTTTGTTTCCCCTTCCTATCTCTTCCCATCTCCTCCCCCCCCCAATGTTGTAAAGTTCATTTTTTGACATAACTACATCTCATTGTTGCAATGGGTCCACCTGTATCCCTATTTAAATGATTTGTTTTTTTCCCTTCCCCTCCACAAATTATACCAACATCAAATACAGTGAAAGCAGGTGTTATGGAAGAAAGACAGTCTCTTCAGTAAATGGTGCTGGCAAAATTGGTTAATTACTTGTAGAAAACTAAAGCTAGATCCTTATATATCACCCTGCACCAGAATCAACTGCAAATGGGTCAAAGATCTCTGAGTCAAAACAGACACTCTGAAAACATTTCAGGATGGTGCCCTTTTTAATCTCTAGAGATGCCTTTAAGCCAAAGACAGAAGAAGGAAAATCTGAACTGAAAAATTAGCTTTGCCCATTGAAAGCGCTTTTTGTCTTCATCCAACATTAGCTAACGATAAGCTCAGTGAAATTGGAGCATGTGTTTCTAATCATTTCAGAAATCAGACTCAATGATAATTTGTGGTTTTCAAGCAACCCTTGGAGCTTTAACCAAAATCTTCCCAAGTAATACTTAGGCTATGTACAGATCTATTGTGACTGTCTGTTGGGTTATGATGCATATATATTGTTCTTTCTCCATTTACTTTTCTGCAGCTCACTGACCTTGCAGCTGTTGGGATCCAGAGCTGGAATGAACATGAGTGAAGACTCTACCTTCCCTAATGTAGGCTATAGAGCTGTTCTTCTGTTGTGTGTCTACCCTGATTCCTCTGTCTAAACTGAATTTCCTTCATCAACAGACAGGTTGTAGTCTCCTTGGACACACTTTTACTCTCCTCCTCTTGGTCTTTTAAAATATTTATTCATGTCTTTTCCTGAACATAAGGAGATTGCTAGAATGATACAATAGACTCTCTTGGGAATTCTACAGGAATGACTCAAGTAGAAAAATAACCATCCAATTAGGAAAAACATCTCAGATGAGTAATTAGGGAAACCCCAATCCCCAGAAACTCCAGTCCTGTCCAAATGAAATATCTTGGGACCTCTAGGCAACAGAATAACACTAGTTTTCATTGTTTGTTTTTATTTCTCTTTCTCTGGCACTTATGGTTGAATTGATTTTTTTTAATGAATGAAAATACAGAAGACCCAAGGGATGTTGGTATAGTGAAGGAGTAGAAACTCATAGATCAATGACAAGAGGGAGTTAGGCTTGCATTCTACTTCCTGAGTTATTCAGCTTACTTTGAAGAACATGATTGGTCTTTTGAATGATCTATTTGGTGTCATTGTAAGGTTTAGAAATAATACTTCAGCTAATGATGTTGATTTTTCACGCATTTTTAACCTTTTTTCCTGATTTACTACTGTTTTATTTCTTTGAGAAAAGATGTAATAAACGTTTGAGGAAGACAATCCTCAAACAAAGTGAATTAATAATTTTATGCCACTCCCATCAAGATTGTTTCTATATCACTCTCAACCTTTATTTAATTGACTTATAAGTATTATATCATTCTGAGTAAGTCAAATTGTGTGCGTTAATTATCTGGAATGAAAAAGTGGCTAAACAGAATTATTTTGGTTATTTTTATGAGCACACAGAATTCATGTTTATTTTTCAATTTTTAAAAATTCTCATTTATTCTTTCACATTTTGCTCTGAAACTTTTGAAAATGATTTTGTTTTCAAGCTGAAAGGTACCCTATTCTCCACTAGAATTTCCTTGACTGTGTGACATGAAATGATTTGCAAACTTATTCCAAAGTTTCTAGCTATTTTCTACCCAGTTGTAGTGTTAGGAGATCACCATACAGAAAAACAGCTGACATGGTACTCTGTTATTTTTTTAAAAAAAAGCAAAATTGGAAGATGTGGAAGGTAATTTTCTGATAATATCAATATTGTAAGTTAAAAAATGAATAGAACATGGAATTATTTCATTAAAGTTTGTTAGTTCAAAGATCTTGGTAATTTAAGAAAATGTCAAATCTTGTCTCTGAAAATATTCACAAGGGCTCTGTCCAAATCATGTTTAATGATTCTGCTGAAACTCTTGAAAATTTCTAATTTTTCACCACAAAGTAATGAAAGGTTGATTTTTTTCATCAAAGGTTGACAGTTTTTATGTTACTTTCTCCCATCTCCTTCTTAAACTTCTGTAATTGCTCCTGCTCCCCTGTCATTGATTCATGATCTTTGTCATCACATTAATTTTCCAGCAAATTTGAGTGATTTTGTGTGAGAAGATTTGTTATCATATACCATCATTTG